GAGTTTAGAGAGGGGGATGGGGCTCCCCCTTTGGCAGACAGAATGGCGCAATGACTGCTGTGTGCCAGTGAGGGCTCTGATAATGAACTGAGCCTCGACCTGCTCTGACACACACACACACACACACACACACACACACACACACACACACCGGTGACTGAAGCAGGGTTTCCTCTGACTCAAACAAAACTGGGAGAATCCCCCAGAGTATGTAATATGAAAATATTGAAATGGAGAGGGACTGTGAAGGAGAGGGGGAGAAATAGAGAGAGCAAGAGACTACAAGGTCACGTTACTCCGCCACTTTAATGCCTTCCTATCAAAGCCCTACTCTAGGACAGGGTGGAGGGTTTGGCGTTTATCATTCATCAACCATCTGTGTAAAACCTAGGAATTATTGGCTGTGTTCTGACTTATTGCTTGTAGGAGGGTCAGGAAATTAAATATGTGAGAGTGTCTATGTGGTTGTGTTTTCCAATATGAAAGTGACAGGTTTAGCAATTTAAGTCATTATAAGTTAACAATGGATTGTGTATTTGGCTGTTAATCCTTCAAAGATCCAGAGAAGTGCTTGGCATTGTGTGGGCTCAGTTCCAGATTATTCCTAACACTCTACTTCTTTTGGTCAGCGAATTAGAGGCAAAATCTCTTCAGTTCACAGAATTATACTCTGGGGTGGATTATATGCCTTTCTTGCACTAACACTCACATTTGTATTTTGTCACTAGCACTGACTTTGCTGATGAAAGGTTTTAAGGATGACTGTGGGTTGGGTGGTAGCCTAGCGGTTAAGAGGTTGGGCCATTAACCGAAAGGTTCCTGGTTCGAATTCCCGAGCTGACTAGGCAAAAATCTGTCGATGTACCCTAGAGCAAGGAACTTAATCCTAATTGCTCCTGTAAATCGCTCTGGATAAGAGCGTCTGGTAAATATGCGTGGTTGTCTCACCTAGCCACCTTAACATGAATGCACTAACTTTAAATTATACACAGACTAAGCGCCCTAAACAGTGGAGCAGGGCAGATGTTTTTACTGAGATGTTCCTGGTTTGAACACAAGCCAGTTAGTTGTTCCTTTCAGAAGGTGGCCATGATAGGACCATTGAGTCACATAAAAGAAAGCAGTCATGGGATCTGGTATCAATGGTTGGCTGGGAGGAAGGCGTGCCCATCCCAGGAATTTGGCTTGGCTTGTTTTCCGCATGTTTTTTTATGCCTGACTACCAATCCAAAACAAGTTCCCCACACACAGAGGATTCTCTGTTCTTTAATTGGGACTGTCATTAAAGTTATTTGGCACAAAGTGAAAGGGGACAGCCAGACAACAGACAGTCCCTCTATTTCAGCTTGTTGTCAGGGCCCTGCTCTCACAGTAGATCCATCAGCCATAGGGGACATTACGGTAGGTCAAATCAGGGTCACCATGGTGATGCCTAGGTAGGTTACCCTAGGCCTAGGGTTTCCATGGTGATGTCTAGGTAGGTAGAAATAAGGTCACCATGGCAACATTTAGGGGACTAATTCAGGGTCACCATGGTGCCGTTTTAAGGAAGGCTACCTCAGGGTCAGCATCACGACTAGGTTCTCAGAAACATGTGATCCATCATTGGAGCCTCTCTCAGACTGCACTGCTCTTCAAGGTGAGATGGAGATAGATAGATGGAGAGAGGGCTGAGGCAGGGGGAGGAGTGTGAATGTGTCCTCTCCATCGATCATTCAGCACCGGCTGCTGACAAGGCGGCTACAGGACTCCCTTTTGTTTCACGCTGGCGTGTGTGTCTCAGCACTAGGCTAAAGCTAATAACACAGCTGACCTCCAGCTAGCCCAGGTCAGAAGGCAGGGCATCAATGGTGGGGTTCTCCTTTAGACCAGTGTAGTTTCAGTCACACAGCATTGAAGACAGGGAACAGAGGAAAACACAGTCAGACATTTTTAAATATGACTATTTTGACTCTTAGATTCCTCTTAAGTAGTATATTGCCAGGACTTTAGTAGTATATTGCCTGGTAGCAGTGGTGAAGACCTGAGCTTTCTTCAGTTTTGTGGCTGTGGTTTTTCTCAGACATGATCTCCAGTGATGCTTTTCCTAGCGTTCGGTCCCAAGTCACTGTTGCAGTGTGGTGTGATTTTTAACATTGATTGGAGGAGGCACTGGGAGCAGTGTGCTGGGAGCTAAAATTGACCAGGAGAACAGCTACTGTGTCTGTGTCTGTGTGCGCGTGTCCATGCATCTCCTTACCCTTTTCAAAAATGAGACTGTTGATAGACATACTGTATTCAGAATATCCATAATCCACCACCAATCAGGCTTTCCAGACAATATGCACCTCATTGTACTGTCAGCTGTTTCCGCCATTTCCCCTTCTCCCATCCTCCATATTTATTCATGCACTTAGCATGTTCTGAGCATCGTCTGATGTCAGAGGCATTTAACCAAATGTGACCATCTCTAATGGACTCCCAGTCAAATATGTTCCACAGAGTGCAAACACATGCCTTGTCTATCCATCTGTCCTCTAGGCTTTCTCCTCTTAACTCTCATTGCCTGAATAATGTGTATCTCTGAATGACTGTATCTGAAGTGTCCTAAATGGCACTGTGGATGAATGTGACCAGAGGGAAGGAGTTATCAAGCCAGATGATTTAGCGTCTCTCTCCAGACCTACACTGCCCCAATCTGTTCCTCCCATTATAGTCTATCTCTTCCCCTTGTCTCTTTGGCTGTCATTTGTCCCAAGGGGCTCCTAGCTTAGAATAAACATTGCAGGGTTTGTCTCTATGGCAACCGCAGCACACTCCGTACAGTGAGACTGTTGGAGATGGATGTATCTAGACGTGACCTGGTGTTCTTATAGTTGATGTGGGACAGGGTCGGGCCATAGAAAATGTACAGTACAATAAAATACAATACAACTTCCTATTGTGGGATAGGTCTTAGGGATTTACTGGAAAAACTGTGCAAATGCAATGTTTGGTAACAGAATTACGGTAAAATATCCCTGTTTTTTTCTGTTACCAAACATTGTATCTGCCCAGTCCTTCTGTAAATATGTTTTTATAAAATATTAAGTGGAAATTGTTAAAAGTAGTCATTGTGCATAGAGTTCTATGGTTTGTTAAACTCAGTGTAATTCCATTTACCATGGAATTGCCCAAGAGCAATTGAGGTTTGTTTGTCAGGTAACCCAGTACTGGTCAGAAGGGTTGAGGTGTGAAATGAACCTGTCTGTCATTTGGGTACAAGCCTGCCCCTGCCCCCTGGTGGTTGTGTTAGCCGATTAGTAGGCTACGATTACAGTTGGCCTTTGCTACCGGCCCACTTTCTGTGTCAGCCAGAGGAAGTGTTGGATTGATCCGGCCAATACGCTCAATCTGCTCAAGCATGCAGAATATTTGTTTTTCTTTTTTCTCGCTTCTTGTCAAAATATTATTTAGTTCCTTTGAGCCGGATTTGTCAGCAGGATTGCTGGGCATATTTTGACCCTGCTAAGTACCGCCGACGCTTGATGTGCAGGCATAAGCTACCGTTTTGCTTACTTTTATGTGATTGAACGTCCAGTCTGTTCCAGGAAGGCAGTGAGGTCTTGCCACAGGGATATATTATATTATATTTCACTCATCAGACGGAGGCTATGCACACTGGTCATGCACTATAGCAGGTCTAAGAACAGCCTAATGGTTCCTGCTGACTCAAACTGGGATGACGTAATCTGTGGAGTGGAGCTGTTCTGGTTGGTTGACTTCCAGGCAGTCCAAGCAAATCACCAACCCACCCTGAAGGTTATATGCTACCTCAGCTCAAGGTTGTTAGAGGCGGGCCCTGACACAGGAAGTGATTGTAGGACTGGAACTCCCATTGGCTGTTGTCAATCCAATAGCCATGGCCTTTTTCTTTGGCAGACAAGCCTTCACTGTATTTGTACTGTACATTTTTAGAGTGAGTTTCTGTTAATTGAGCTTGTTAATATGAGTATATTATATAAATAAAATAAAGGTGAGAGTCAGTTACAATATCGGCTAAATTTGATTTTATTCTGTTAGAAGCATTGACCTAAGAGAAGGCCTCTATGTGATATCTCCTGTTATCCGTAACATGATCTTGTCTCTCAGAGAGCCAGGTAACAGGACACCGTTAAGGTCCTCACCTTGAGCAGGCGGCACTGGGGTAAAGGGGGAGGGGGCTGGGGCTGGCTCTGGTGCGGGTGATTGCGTGCTGCCCAGGCGTCGTCTCTCTCGGTGTAATTATTTGCCAGGACAAACTGAGGCCTCAAGGGGAAAACAAATGAGGAGGGATTTGTGTGGTATCCCTGCCTTTCTTCCTGCCTGCCTGGTCCCTGGGTGTAGTCTATGAAAGGCTAGTATGACCTTTCACACAGACAGGGAGAATGCTCTTCAACCCCTCAGCTTCATCACGTGTGTCAGGGCGACACAGCTCAGATGTGTGTGGGAGAGGGCCAGGGCCACAGTACGACACACGGAGGGCCAGGGCCACAGTACGACACACGGAGGGCCAGGGCCACAGTACGACACACGGAGGGCCAGGGCCACAGTACGACACACGGAGGGCCAGGGCCACAGTACGACACACGGAGGGCCAGGGCCACAGTACGACACACGGAGGGCCAGGGCCACAGTATGACACACGGAGGGCCAGGGCCACAGTATGACACACGGCTGCCTGCCGCTCTCATCCCATACAAACAGATCAATCAGCCTAATGTGTAGTTACTAACTGCTCACATGTTAACTAATAGCGTGAAGCTGACATGAATCTGAACAACTTATCGACGCAGCAGGGGTCTCTCAGATCGTGTGTGTGCATTGACACATGCAAGTAATAGTCTTTGTATGATGGTTTGTGCTATAATTGTGTAGCTACAATTTCTGAAGATGTGCTATGTATGCCATGTGTAGCTCACATAGGTTAATGTCTTGTCTTCCTCTCTCTCTGTCTCTCTCTCTCTCTCTCTCTGTGTGTGGCGTAGTGACCAGACAGGAAGATGGATGAGCTACAGGACGTGCAGCTGACTGAGATCAAGCCCCTGCTGACTAATAAGGTGAGAGGATGAGATGACCACTTGCATGGGAGATTCACACATACACAGACAGATGTGCAGAATGTTGCCTATACATGACACACAGAGACTTATTCAGTATTTGTCTCCAACGTGAACAGTGCCTCTCTCCCCACTCCAGAGCGCTGTTCATCAAAGTGAATGATTTATCATCTCAGCTTCACTGTAGTGAGGGAAGAGTCAATAGAAGAACAAAAAGCAAGGGATGTAGTTAGGCTCAAGAGAGAGATACAGAGGATAGAGAGAGATGCAGAGAGAGGGAGAGGAAGCAAGAGGGAGGGGAGGAAAGAGGGAAAGATCAAAGGGGAAGCTAGCAGAAACTGCTCTTTTTTGTGAGCTTGAAAGATTCAGGTAAGAGGGGAAAAAAAGAGCTCCCAGCCTGCCTTGGGGTGGGGCAAGAAGGAAGTCAGCCCATCTGTGTAAATTGACCCCTATTACACCCAGAGGGGACTATCCTGTTACAGACAGTTCCAGTGCGAACTGGAATTTTTATTTAGGAGCACCAGTACGCCTAGAACAATTACAGATTCTAGCTTTGTTACCCCAAATATTTTGCATTGTGCTCCTACATTTCTTTTTGTGCGCCTACATTTTTTAAATTAGGCACACACGTGCTCCTTGTAAAAAAAAGGTCAGCATAGAGCCCTGTAGACTCTCTCTGCTTCACAGGAAATCAGTTGATGTATAGGTTGAGGCAGAGGGTGTTGCGTCATGCGTCATGCATCATGGGCTGAACAGGCCATTTATCATCTGACAGTGGTGCTGGTGAAGTGGGCTGGCTGTGGACAGAGAGGAAGAGAAGTGAGAGGGTTCACTACCGTCAAAATCTGTCCACGATAAGCAGACTGCCTGCCTTCCCTCCTTTGGGACAACGACTCCCATTGTTAGGGTAGAGACAAGACCATCTTGTCAATATATACAGTATCTCGGCTGTGGACAGGTTGAAGGAAGTAAGGCAGAATCATGAGCTCATCTGAATGAATGGGTTTATGGCTGACCTCTCACTCCACCTTGTCTCCCGAGTGGCGCAGTGGTCTAAGGCACTGCATCGCAGTGCTAGCTGTGCCACTAGAGATCCTGGTTCATATCCAGGCTCTGTCGTAGCCAGCCGCGACCGGGAGACCCATGGGGCGGCGCGCAATTGGCCCAGCGTCTTCCAGGGTAGGGGAGGGAATGGCCGGCAGGGATGTAGATAAGTTGATAGAGCATGTCGTTTGCAACGCCAGGGTTGTGGGTTCGATTCCCACAGGGGGTATGAAAAAAATAAAAAATAATGTATGCACTAACTTAACTGTAAGTCGCTCTGGATAAGAGCGTCTGCTAAATGACTAAAATGTAATGTAAATGTAGTGGCCAGGCCACCTCATTAAGAACCAAGCAGACACTCACAGCAGCCTGCAGGATAGACGTGAGGACATACAGACAGACGGTAATGAGATTATAGGAAAGGGAGATAGATGGGATAGCATATTTAGTCTGTCAATCAGCCAGAGCATGTATACTGAAACTCCCATAGTGGTGCTTTCTAAAATACTGTAGGTGAAAGAATTTCTAACATCCAACACCTCAGTAACATACCTTTCTTTCCTCTTTTCTCTCAGAATTCACGTAACTTCCAGGACTTTGACTGCCAGGTAAGTGTCTCCAGTTCTATAAGAAACAGATGCTGTTTTGTACTGATCTATTTCAGAGATGTGATTCAGGCCAGGGGAGCTTTGAAAGGGCTCTCCTCTCAGTTCCTGTTAAATGAGCCAAACAGAGGGAACGCGTTGCGCTCAGGTAACAAGAGGCGGTTTGGGGACATGGCCTCATTCTGATCCTTCTACTACTACTTTCAGTTTGCCCTAGATTTAAACCGAGTTCCTTTCTCACAATGAAGAGTCTGTAGGTGGAATGGTGATGCAGAGTTTGAGGTAGTATAAGTTTAACCACAGATCTTGGATCAGATTCCCCTACCTCCAATCCTAACATTAACCATTAGAGGGGGGAAATATCTGACCCTGTATCATTGGCTAAGGGCAGCATATATCTACTGATGCTAATTTCACAAGCCAAGTGGTGGAAAACATGTTGCTTATGAGACTGACTCAGCTTGTTTATTTGTTGGTGTGTATGCAGCAAACAACAAACAACAGCATTAGTAGTGACCTTTGGATCACCCTCCCACTTGCCTTAAGCTCAGAGTTATAGCCCTGTTCCTCAGCTCCTGTGCTGTGAGTCTGCTGATGGTGAGGGGTGTCTGAGCCGTGGGGAGCGTGGGACAGCCTGGCATTCATAGTGGGCCTCCAGCCATACAAGGCTCAGTGGGGTATACTACGAATCATGTTTGAGGAGTTAGCGAGGTTACTTTGGTCAACTCTGAGTTCAACTCGGGATAACCGGTATCATGAAAGTGGCTCACCTTTTAGCCAGGTACATTTCTATGGCAACGTATCCTTCAGAGCTAACCTGCACCGGGGCAGGCTAACTCAGAGCTAACTCTGTTTATCCTAAATGAAGTGTCTGAGCCACGGGTTGAGGACCAATGAAATCAGATTCCCTCCCTCTTGCAAAGATTGCGCCATCATCCCTTTCATTTGAGGAAGACGACTGATTAAATATTAACGATACAGTGCATTCGGAAAGTATTCAGACCCCTTGACTTTTTCCACATTTTGTTACGTTACAGCCTTATTCTAAAATGTATTAAATTGTTTTTTTCCCTCATCAATCTACACACAATTCCCCATAATGACAAAGCAAAAACTGGTTTTTATACATTTTTGCACATTTATGAATACAAATAAACTGAAATATGACATTTACATAAGTATTCAGACCTTTTACTTAGTACTTTGAAGCACCTTTGGCAGTGATTTCAGCCTCGAGTCTTCTTGGGTATGACGCTACAAGCTTGGCACACCTGTATTTAGGGAGTTTCTCCCATTCTTCTCTGCAGATCCTCTCAAGCTCTGTCAGGTTGGATGGGGAGCGTCGCTGCACAGCTATTTTCAGGTCTCTCCAGAGATGTTCGATCGGGTTCAAGTCCGGGCTCTGGCTAGGCCACTCAAGTACATTCAGAGACTTGTCCCGAAGCCACTCCTGCGTTGTCTTGGTTGTGTGCTTAGGGTCGTTGTCCTGTTGGAAGGTGAACATCCGCGCCAGTCTGAGGCGTTCTGGAGCAGGTTTTCATCAAGGATCTCTCTGTACTTTGCGCAGTTCATCTTTCCCTCGATCCTGACTAGTCTCCCAGTCCCTGCTGATGAAAAACATCCCCACAGCATGACGCTGCCACCACCATGCTTCACCGTAGGGATGGTGCCAGGTTTCCTCCAGACGTGATGCTTGGCATTCAAGCCAAAGAGTTCAATCTTGGTTTCATCAGACCAGAGAATCTTGTTTCTCATGGTCTGAGTTCTTTAGGTGCCTTTTGGCAAACTTTTACTGAGGAGTGGCTTCCGTCTGGCCACTCTACCATAAAGGCCTGATTGGTGGAGTGCTGCAGAGATGGTTGTCCTTCTGGAAGGTTCTCCCATCTCCACAGAGGAACTCTGGAGCTCTGTCAGAGTGACCATCGGGTTCTTGGTCACCTCCCTGACCAAGGAAGGCCCTTCTCCCCTGAATGCTCAGTTTGGCCTGGCAGCCAGCTCTAGGAAGAGTCTCGGTGGTTCCAAACTTCTTCCATTTAAGAATGATGGAGGCCACTGTGTTCTTGGGGACCATCAATGCTGCAGAAATGTTTTGGTACCCTTCCCCAGATCTGTGCCTCGACACAATCCTGTCTCGGAGCTCTACGGACAATTCCTTCGACTTCATGGCTTGGTTTTTGCTCTCACATGCACTGTCAACTGTGGGACCTTATATAGACAGTATAGTACATTTACATTACATTTTAGTCATTTAGCAGACGCTCTTATCCAGAGCGACTTACAGTTAGCGCATACATTATTTTATCGAACCCACAACCCTGGCGTTGCAAACGCCATGCTCTACCAACTGAGCTACATCCCCTGCCGGCCATTCCCTCCCCTACCATGGACTACGCTGGGCCAATTGTGCGCCGCCCCATGGGTCTCCCGGTCGCGGCCGTACCTTTCCAAATCATGTCCAATCAATTGAATTTACCACAGGTTGACTCCAATCAAGTTATAGAAACATCTCAAGGATGATCAATGGAAACAGGATGCACCTAAGCTCAATTTCGAGTCTCATAGCAAAGGGTCTGAATACTTACGTAAATAAGGTATTTCAGTTTTTTATTTTTAAGAAATTTGCTCACAAAAATAAAAACCTGTTTTCGCTTTGTCATTATGGGGTATTGTGTGTAGATTGATGAGAGATAAATAAATACATTCCATTTTAGAATAAGGCTGTAATGTAACAAAATGTGGAAAAAGTCAAGGGGTCTGAATACTTTCCGAATGCACTGTACATAATAAAAGAAAGACGGCACTTATAACAGCCTATTTCACACCATAGCTTGCTGAATTTGCAAAATAACTTTTAATCCATTTTTAAATAAATGTGGCACTGACATGGATTGGTGTTTCAGCATTTTCTCAATGAAGACTTCGGCGTCGATTAGCCATGTGCGATATGAACGTGCAGTTACAAGCCTAGCTCGAGCAGGCTCAAGTAAGTGGCGGGTGCATGATCAATATTTACCTTCGTAGTACGGATATTGCCTGAGCTGGAATGTGAAGCTAACTCAATCTGGCTAGCTTTATAAAAGCCTGAGTAGATCTAGCTTGCTTTGTAGTATTGACGGGTTGGTTGTTTAGCAACAAAACCGATGCGTGTGCAACTATGGGGCAAAACAGACAGGGTTGGCTTAGATTGTTTACAACATATAAACTATATTTTGTCTCCAGTCTTTAATGAAAATATAAATCAATTTGCACTTGCCTCTCAAATACATTGTTACAGTTGTTGGTTGCTAGCTATAGAACATTTTCGTCACAACACCTCAAAACAAGACATGGCTTCAAGAACAAGCCACTTACTATTCCTAACATGGCAGTTTCTTGTAATTCTTGCTAGCAATCTGGCCATCCAGAATCACAACAACACGCTGACTTCTGCCCCATGGAAGCGTGCACATCGTTTTCATGACGTTGTCAGCCAACCCATCTATACCGTTCTTGTTAAATTGTGACAGACTTGAGATGGGGTTCATCATGGGGTGGTTGTGGTTACGGGAGCCATTTTGGTTCTGGAGTTGTATTTGTCAGTTGTTCTGGTATGGTTCTCTATCAACGTACGATTTAACAAGTGATGTTTTATGCCATGATTAAGGCTTTATTTATTTTGATACTTTGTATTTGTGCAGATTCTGGTGTGTTAAGTTGTTGTAAGGCCCTGTTCTGTGGACAAACCTCTGGGATAATATTGAGTCGTGACTCATTAAACCACACCAGCCTGAGGCCCTGAGGATCAACACAACAGCCAATGAATGCCTTTCGGTCTCCATTACACAGCCAATCACTGCTTCACTGCCATGTATCACTGAGTGTGAAGAAGAAGAAGAAGAAGAGTGGCTTCTATGATATAATAATAATAATAATAATAATATGCCATTTAGCAGACGCTTTTATTCAAAGCGACTTACAGTCATGTGTATTGTATGATTCTTTCATATTGTATGATATTGTGTGATGTCTAAATACATTTCAAACATGCAAATAGAGCTGCCAGACAGGGTAATTATTAGTGATGGGGGGAAAAAATCGATACAGTTACATATCGGGATATTCGCTTTGACAATGTATTGTTTTGACAATAACGCAATATTATTTTCGCGTTAGTTAGCTGTACCTGCACCAAAACGCCAGTATTTTTCCTTCATAGCTTGTTCTCCATCTTCTTTTTAAATAGGGAGCCAATCTGTTTTCAGCACTTTAATTTCCATGACTGATCAGACATATGGTCAGCAATATGTTTGGAATTTCAAATCGCAATAAAATCATAGTATAAAATTGTGAGAATCGCAATACATATCGTATTGTGGGTTTGATTACAGGCTCAAAATGGCCAGAAACAAATAACTTTCTTCTGAAACTCGTCAGTCTATTCTTGTTCTGAGAAATGAAGGCTATTCCATGCGAGAAATTGCCAAGAAACGGAAGATCTCGTACAATGCTGTGTACTTCTCCCTTCACAGAACAGCGCAAACTGGCTCTAACCAGAATAGAAAGAGGAGTGGTAGGTCCCGGTGCACAACTGAGCAAGAGGACAAATACATTAGTGTCTAGTTTGAGAAAGATGCCTCACAGGTCCTCAACTGGCAGCTTCATTAAATAGTACCCGCAAAACACCAGTTTCAACGTCAACAGTGAAGAGGCGACTCCGGGATGCTGACCTTCTAGGCAGAGTTGCAAAGAAAAAGCCATATCTCAGACTGGCCAATAAAAATTAAAGATTAAGATGGGCAGTCTGAGATATGGTTGCAATACATTTGCAACAATTTCTAAAAACCTGTTTTTGCTTTGTCATTATGGGGTATTGTGTGTAGTTTGATGAGAAAAAAAAACAATTTGAACAATTTTAGAATAAGGCTGTAATGTAACAAAATGTGAGAAAATTCAAGGGGTCTGAATACTTTCCGAATGCACTGTATCTACTGTAGGTAGGAGAGTAAGCAAGCTCAGTTGAGCAGGGCTGGTGCATGCTTTCCTTCTCCATGTGGTCCTGTCTGTGCACCCATCCCCCCTTCATGCATACACTCAGCCACACAAATAGGCATTGTCACTCACACATACACACACACACTTTCAGACATACAGTATTCCCTTCACTTTTGCCACATCCAACAGACAACCAGCAGTGTTTACATCTAGCCAGTGTCATTATTAAAGATGCTCCCATGATTAATTCCACTGCAGCACTGCTGTGACGTCATCACCCAGAGACAGTGTGTGTGGATGGGAGGGGGAGACGGGGCCAAAGGGTGTGGTATCAGTCTCCACAGGGATGCTGCCCTGTCTTACATCACAGGGAGGTGTCTACTAGATGTGTCCCCCTCCCTCCCTTCACACATGTATGTACATTTACACTCTTGCAGGAATTCTGAAAAATAAATGAGGGGGCTAGAAATGGCTATGCTTTCAAAATTGAAACGCATGAAGTGATGCTAATTGAGTGCAGTCCCAGGAGATCTGCTCTGGGAGCTGCAGTAATACGAAGGCGGGTGTAATGGGATGCTTAGCTCTGTTCAACATCACAATTTAGTCCTCCTTAGATCTAGCAAAGATAATGGTGTAGACCTAATCCATTTCAGATATGTTGTTCTCCTATGTACAGTAAACATGCAACATGCAACAACTTCAAAGATTTTACTGAGTTACAGTTCATATAAGGAAATCAGTCAATTGAAATAAATGCATTAGGCCCTAATCTATGGATTTCACATTACTTGGAATACAGATATGCATCTGCTGGTCACAGATACCTTAAAGAAAAGGTTGGGGCGTGGATCAGACAAACAGTCAGTATCTGGTGTGACCACCATTTACCTCATGCAGCGCGACACATCTCCTTTGCATAGAGTTGATCAGGCTGTTGATTGTGGCCTGTGGAATGTTGTCCCTCTCCTCTTCAATGGCTGTGCGAAGTTGCTGGATATTGGCGGGAACTGGAACACGCTGTCATACACGTCGATCCAAAGCATCCCAAACATGCTCAATGGGTGACATGTCTGGTGATTATGCAGGCCATGGAAGAACTGGGACATTTTCAACTTCCAGGAATTGTGTACAGAGAGCCTTGTGACATGGGGCCACGCATTATCATGCCGAAACATAGGGTGATGGCGGCAGATTAATGGCACGACAATGGGCCTCAGGATCTTGTCACAGTAAAATGCCATCTTGCCATCGATAAAATGCAATTGTGTTCGTTGTCCGTAGCTTATGCCTGCCCATACCATAACCCCACCGCCACCATGGGGCACTCTGTTCACAACGCTGACATCAGCAAACCACTTGCCCACACAACGCCATACACATGGTCTGGGTTTGTGAGGCAGGTTGGAAGTACTGCCAAATTCTCTAAATCGACGTTGGAGGCAGCTTATGGTAGAGAAATGTACGTTCAATTGTTTGGCAACAGCTCTGGTGGACATTCCTGCAGTCAGCATGCCAATTGCACGCTCCGTCAACTTGAGACATCTGTGGCATTGTCTTTGTGTGACAAAACTGCACATTTTAGAGTGGCCTTTTATTGTCCCCAACACAAGGTGCACCTGAGTAATGATCATGCTGTTTAATCAGCTTCTTGATATGCCACACCTGTCAGGTGGATGGATTATCTTGGCAAAGGAGAAATGCTTACTAAGGGGGATGTAAACAAATGTGTGCATAAAATCTGAGAGAAATAAGCTTTTAGTGCATATAGAATATTTCTGGGATCTTTTATTTCAGCTCATGAAACATGGGACCAACACTTTACATGTTGCGTTTAGTTTTGTTCAGTGTATACTAGAATTAATGTAGAGAACCTGACAACAACGTTGGCTTGATCTTGGCCTCCTCCAGGAATGCACTGTCCTCTCTCTTCCCCTTCAGTGGGTGAAATGTCTCCGTATAGCGTCAAACTGGGATTGCAAGTCATTGCTGTGGCCCCCTGTGTTTTGCTGATCTCATTTAGCCCAGGAGAGGGCGTTGTAAGCCTGTCTGACGGGACAGAGCAGAGGAGCTGGACTTTAGTGTCTGATTTGCCTGTACAATACAGAAGGCTTGTCTATGTTTAAAAAAAAAGGCTGATATTAAAATGTGATTCAGATGTCGGTAAATGTAGGTCACACAGAGATGTAGAGAAAACAGTGCAGAAGAAGTACATCAGTGTCCCCTTTAAGACTCTACGCCCGTCCTCCACTTTCTCCTCTGAGTGTCCGTCCATCTGTCTGTCTCCTTGGAGGTGGTGGTTGGTGCTGAGACAGCAGTGTCTGTATGACTCACAGGGAGGGAGAGGCTGTTCACTCTCACTGTGGTGCCTGAGAGACTTGGAAACAGTCATGATGAGTCACTGTGGTGATTTATCAGTAAAAAGATGTGTGCATAGCTTCTGTGTGCATGAGATAGCAGTTATTGATATCCAAATGGGGTCATTTGTTCCAGAGATCCACGCATCATCATCATCATCATCATTAGACCGACCGGTCAACGTGTGTTTGTACAGTGTGAATGTGTACCTGTATCCATGTGTGTACCTCTGTATGTGTGGGTATGTGGCACCCCCTGTGGGGCAGTAGTGGGAATAATGAATGTAGATATGCTAGGTAGGACAGTCGTGGTCAAACGTTTTGAGAATGACACAAATACTAATTTTCACAAAGTCTGCTGCCTCAGTTTTGATGATGGCAATTTGCATATACTCCAAAATGTAATGAAGAGTGATCAGATGAATTGCAATTAATTGCAAAGTCCCTCTTTGCCATGAAAATGAAATGAATCCCCCCAAAAAGATTTCCACTGCATTTCAGCCCTGCCACAAAAGGACCAGCTGCCATCATGTCAGTGACTCTCTCGTTAACACAGGTGAGAGTGTTGACGAGGACAAGGCTGGAGATCACTCTGTCATGCTGATTGAGTTAGAATAACAGACTGTAAGCTTTAAAAGGAGGGTGGTGCTTGAAATCATTGTTCTTCCTCTGTTAACCATGGTTACCTGCAAGGAAACATGTGCCGTCATCATTGCTTTGCACAAAAAGGGCTTCACAGGCAAGGATATTGCTGCTAGTAAGATTGCACCTAAATCAACCATTTATCGGATTATCAAGAACTTCAAGGAGAGAGGTTCAATTGTTGTGAAGAAGGCGTCAGGGCGCCCAAGAAAGTCCAGCAAGTGCCAGGACCGTCTCCTAAAGTTGATTCAGCTGCGGGATCGGGGCACCACCAGTGCAGAGCTTGCTCAGGAATGGCAGCAGGCAGGTGTGAGTGCATCTGCACGCACAGTGAGGCAAAGACATTTGGAGGATGGCCTGGTGTCAAGAAGGGCAGCAAAGAAGCCACTTCTCTCCAGGAAAAACATCAGGGACAGACTGATATTCTGCAAAAGGTACAGGGATTGGACTGCTGAGGACTGGGGTAAAGTCATTTTCTCTGATGAATCCCCTTTCCGATTGTTTGGGGCATCCGGAAAACACCTTGTCCGGAGAAGACAAGGTGAGCGCTACCATCAGTCCTGTGTCTTGCCAACAGTAAAGCATCCTGAGACCATTCATGTGTGGGGTTGCTTCTCAGCCAAGGGAGTGGGCTCACTCACAATTTTGCCTAAGAACACAGCCATGAATAAAGAATGGTACCAACACATCCTCCGAGAGCAACTTCTCCCAACCATCCAAGAACAGTTTGGTGACGACCAATGCCTTTTCCAGCATGATGGAGCACCTTGCCATAATGCAAAAGTGATAACTAAGTGGCTCGGGGAACAAAACATCGACATTTTGGGTCCATGGCCAGGAAATTCCCCAGACCTTAATCCCATTGAAACTTGTGGTCGATCCTCAAGAGGCGGGTGGACAAACAAAAACCCACAGATTCTGACAAACTCCAAGCATTGATTATGCAAGAATGGCCTGCCATCAGTCAGGATGTGGCCCAGAAGTTAATTGACAGCATGCCAGGGCGGATTGCAAAGGTCTTGAAAAAGAAGGGTCAACACTGCAAATATTGACTCTTTGCATAAACTTAATGTAATTGTCAATAAAAGCCTTTGACACTTATGGAATGCTTGTAATTATACTTCAGTATACCATAGTAACATCTGACAAAAATATCTCATAACACTGAAGCAGCGAACTTTGTGAAGACCAATACTTGTGTCATTCTCAAAACTTATGACCACGACTGTACGCTCCACCCAGCTCGCCTGGCGCTCCCTGTAGGTAGGTGGAGTTCACACTGTAGGACCAATAGAACACACACAGTGTGCTGCTCCGCCCACTCGACACATTCTATGTACGTTCCATTGGTCCCCTTGTGTAAACTCCGCCCACCAGGCCAGCTGCTTCCTGCAGGTAATAGAGAAGAGAACATGATGAATCAATAGGTTCAGGCTCAATAAAGAAAGGGGGAGATTTACAGAGAAAGATCTGTGTATCGCTGTATGCATCACTCTCTTCGATTCCAGTGAATGCATGCATACACACACTCTCTCTCACTCACTCACTCACTCACTCACAGTAGTGATATAGAGCAACGTGGATTGTTATTACAGTGTAACAGCCATTTGTTAATCTCTCTTAGATACAAGGTGCTCTTTTGCAGCCCATCAAGGTGATGGTGCGTTGGATTACCATGGGGTCACAGCAGGTTGAATGATTGCAGGGTCGTTAGTGAATAAAATCAATATACTGAATGCCTTAGTTACTGGAAGATCTGCTGTTACAAAACCATATTGGTGCATTAGAAGACTGAGATCATATTGATATTCAATGCAGACCTTCTTCCCTCACTGCCTAGTCTAGTCTGACTGATTTCATCATCATGTATTAGCCTGGTTGCTCATTGATGACAGGTGTAGTGTTTAATCAAATTCCAGCCCATAAACTGACATCTCAAGGTGATGCTCTGATAATTCATCAGGATCAGACAGTGATTTTAGAGCGCTGCTGCTGAGCTGATGCAGAATGCACTGGAAGGAAGGGGTCAGTAGTCAATGTCAGCATCCTTTTTACAGCACCACTCGATCTCCCTCTGTGATGTCAGAGTGTTGCATGTCTCCTAGGCTGCCTGCCTGCCTCCACCCCAACACCCTCTCCTCTCTCCATCCATCCCCCATCCCTTTCCTCTGTTCTCCTCTAGCCCAACCCCTTTCTGCCCACCTGACCTGCTGAAATCCAATTAGAATCACCAGGACACAGCCTTGGCTGCACAGACGCGCTGTGCTTACCAAGCACAAACTTCAGTCTCACTCTCTCCTTCTCCCACTCTCTCTTTTCCTCTCTCTTCCCTCCGCATCTTTTCTATCCCTCCCACTCTTGTTCAAAATATTCACTCTTTCTCTCACTCCATTTGTCTTTGTCTGTCTTTCACTCTCTCCCTTCCCTCTCGCTGGTCTAACTTTTGCAGCTAGTCTCTCTATCTCCCCAATCTCGCTCTCCCTCCTGCGCTGCTTCCCTCCCTCTCTCCCTCCCTCCTAGCAGCACACAGTCTCCTCCTGCGTGGGAAACATGTCAGCCATTCTGGACCTGGACCAGATCGCATGCTCTGGGAATGCAGTGGTGAGTGCGTCTAACTGACACACCTCGCTGGGTTTAGATTCAGGGTGCCGAGACCCTGGTTCTCTTGAAGGTGCTGGACTGGGCAGGACTCCCTGGCTGGTTGGTAGCACACATAACTGCCTGCCTCCTCAGATGGCTAAGCAGCTGTGCCGTTTCAGTGCGCAGAGAGGTGTTTGTGTGGGTGGACGTTTGTCTGCAGGAGAACACTAGATTTTTCTTGTTTGTGTGTTTGCATGCACTTACTGTCGAGACTGTGTGTGTGTATTCGTGTGCGGGGAAGTGTGTGTGTGTGTGTGTTGTCAACATAGACGGCATGAATGTGTTCTTGTGTGTTGTTGGTGCATTTCAATGTGATGGCATGAAATATGCATGTGTATAAGTGTTCAGGAGTCTGAGCATACAGGAGGGTATGTGGGAGGATATGTGGGAGGATATGCGTATGTGCCTGTCTGTGTGTGCACGTCTCTGGATGTACTGCATTTCTGTGTTTGCCAGATCGTGAAGAGAAAAGAGCTATTTCCTCTGAACATATGAGTGGTGACGGAGACCAGCTAGACAGGCCTTGTGATCCCTGTGTGTGTATCCAGGTAAACTGCGACATTCTGTCAGGGACAAGGAACTGATCTTTCACCCACATAGCAACAACAGATTTGTTGAAGTCTGAAAGATTTCCCACAAGGACCTTTACTGGCTAAATGTTGTTTTCAACCCCATGACATAGACAGGCTCTCTCTGGTCGTATGTGTGAGAGAGAAGCTGTTAGCAATGGGGCTGTCATTTTTGTCCCCTAACGCTGCTCTGTGTGGTGATTGATGCTGTCGCTCTTAAGGCCGGGGGAGGAGACGGGCAAAGGAGATGGATGGCAGAGAGAAGTGAAGCATGACACATTGCTCTCCTTTTCACCTGTCTGACTCTCCCTCTTTCCCATCTCCATCACCTTACCCTCCTCCCTCACCCTCTCCATCCCTTACCCTCCTCCCTCACCCTATCCATCCCTTACCCTCCTCCCTCACCCTCTCTATCCCTTACCCTCCTCCCTCACCCTCTCTATCCCTTACCCTCCTCCCTCACCCTCTCTATCCCTTACCCTCCTCCCTCACCCTCTCTATCCCTTACCCTCCTCCCTCACCCTCTCTATCCCTTACCCTCCTCCCTCACCCTCTCTATCCCTTACCCTCCTCCCTCACCCTCTCTATCCCTTACCCTCCTCCCTCACCCTCTCTATCCCTTACCCTCCTCCCTCACCCTCTCTATCCCTTACCCTCCTCCTCACCCTCTCTATCCCTTACCCTCCTCCCTCACCCTCTCTATCCCTTACCCTCCTCCCTCACCCTCTCTATCCCTTACCCTCCTCCCTCACCCTCTCTATCCCTCCCTCTCCTTATTTTCAATTTTCCTTCTCTGTGTGACTTTGTTTCAATCTTTGGCAGATTCCTCTTGGTGTCTCTGCAGGCACCTCACTGCCCTTAGCCCTCCATTTGTTATAGATCATTATCAGCCGTCTTTGACCATACACAAACCCAAACCCCACATTAACATTCTCCTCCACATTCTATGAAGTTTGTCTAAACCCCCATTACAGAAGCATAGTTTCACTTTGGTAAAGGGTAAAAAGGGTTTCAGCCATTGCAGTGCTCTCTACTCTCCCCCCTCCCTCTGCAGGCCAGCAGCCCCACCCCAGTTCTGTTTGCATCTGAGGCTCCACTGATGTGTGTGTGTGTAAAGTGAGCGAGATTAAGGAAAACAGACAGTGTGCATGGCTTACTCCTAGATCAATACAAACCAAAGACAAGGATCTAAGCTAGATGACTGGATCTGAGGCCTTGTTCAGATCATCATGTTTATGATAAACCATATTCTTCCTCTGCCAAGAAAGTCACTCCCTTTTGTTTGTTTTTCATCAGTGGGTCTCCTCAGCTTTGTCACCCTTTTCTCGATCTTTCATGCTCTACTTATCTTCTCTCTTCTGTTCTATCATTCTATATCTTCTCTTCTTCTCACTCCATCAGCAGCCTCAGTGTTTGTGTGTGTGTGCCTCTGTGTGTGTTCATTCCATTTATTCGAACAGTCGTTGTTTCTCTCACTCACTGTGTCCTTGTTGCTGTCCTTCTCTCACCCCTAAACACTCTGCTTCTGCAGCAACACAGAAGGGAGTGTTTCATTGTTAGTGACAACAGGTCGTGCTGCCTTCATCCTTTGACAATCGTGTCATTTCTGTGAGCTTCAAATACGTTCTTAGAATGCAAAACTGTTTAAACGGTTGTCTTCTTTTTTATAATACTTTGATATGAACAACAGATAATAGTAAAGCCAGTAACCTGAGGAAAAGCCTTTTCCATTGGTCTCTGTTTTATGTGTCGCCATGTTCCTGTTCTGTCTTTGTCTCCACTCTGTGGGTGCCTGGCTGTTTATTAATGCATGTACTTGCCTCCGTGCATTTCAATGAAGTCTTAATCTTACTATAGTGAATTGTAAAGCATAGAAAATGGCTGGTATGTTTGGTTGAGATCTTAGACAGGGATACTGTTGCCTTGTCCTTGACCGGAAGGTTTAACCTTCACTTTCTCCAAAGGAACTTTGATATCCACCATTCTCAAAAATGGTAAAATGGTTCCTGCTGCAGTGTTCCCAGCCCTGCCTCTGAGCAGAGGAGGCTTGTCTCACTCTCTCTTAATTATTGTATGACCAGTGTGCCCTGAGACTAGGCAAGCTCTGTGCCCACCACTACCTCATGCTGCTAAACACACGCTCACACTCATACACTAACATGCTCAGATACCCAGTCCCAAGTAATGCCGACCTTGCGCTGCAGTGTGGTGTGTGACGTCAGCAGATACTGCTGTCACGAATTTAGAGAGGTACAGGATAGGTCTATAGAAAGTGTGGTGGCACGCCAGGGAATGACGCTGTTATTTCCTTGGTGTATTGCATCACTTCCTGTTTTAAGTCATGATATGTGATGAAGCTCAGAAAGATGGCAGTTTATTGCTGGCATCTTTTTGGGTCTAATTTGCCCTGGTCAGCCAGATTATTATCTGACTCGGTTACACTGAAAACCTTAATGCACAGACTTGGAATCATAAAAATCATTCATCATTTTATGGATGGCTCTAGTCTCTGTCTCTGTGTAATTTTAGGGTTCAGTCTCTTTTTAAGAAAGGAAGTTATTTAGTGCAGAGAGGCATGGAGTAAAAAGTTTCAGTCTGAATTTTAATAGAAGAGGGCTACTCCTCCCTGCAGTGGCAGCTTCCAGAGGAGGCGATGACACTGGATTTTTGTACAGTAATACCTCGGGGTGCAGTGCATTTTAAAATCTCCAAGGGAACCAGCTGATCCTCTGCCCAGTGCACACTCTGTGCTCCTCCTCCTCCCGTCTGAGGGCTCTGGAAAGGAGACTGGAAGCTCTGTAGTCTGTACATACTCAATCATAAGGACTCTCTCATGATTGGATTGTCAATTTGTTTGGCCTTTATTGTCTTTCTCATATCTGATGCATGATGTAGTAAGCTGTAATTAGAATATGAATCCATAAATATCCACATCAAACCCACTCCAGATCCCCCTACACAGACCCTGAGGCACTTGGTGTAGATTGAAAAAGATTGGATAAGAAAAGACAGTATGGTGAAGGACCTCAAGGGCCTAGGAGTCAGTTTGGAAATGGGAACATGTCGGTCTGGACACCAGGATGGCTCCCTCCCTACCTCCGTACTGTTCAGATCTGTCTACCAACGCCCTGACCTGTCTGTTCTCCTCTGATTGGCTGCAGGAGCATGATATCGAGACTCAGCATGGCGTGCTCCATGTGACCATGAGGGGCGTTCACAAGGGAAACCGGCCAGTCATCCTCACCTACCATGACATTGGCCTCAACCGTGAGTGTGCAAATTAACCCTAATACTATTATCTAAGACACAGTGTGGTTATAAACATGTACAACATGTACCAACTTCTATAAGTATTACTTGTAGGTTTATGCCATGGATTTGTGTTTTATGTATGATAGGTTTGTGCCATTCTTGTGTATCTTATTTCTAGGTTTACTTCTTTATATCTAATGACTGGATTTGCATTACTATCCTTTTGGTCCCTTCTCTGTGCAGATAAGTCGTGCTTCAACACGCTGTTTAACTTTGAGGACATGCAGGAGATCACGCAGCACTTTGCAGTGGTCCATGTGGACGCCCCCGGACAGCAGGAGGCGGCAGCACCCTTCCCCACCGGGTACCAGTACCCGACCATGGACGAACTGTCTGAGATGCTGCCCTCGGTTATGACTCAGCTCAAGTGAGTGACATGGAAATTGACAACTTGACTCATTTAGGTTGTGATGGATAAACCAGTGGAATGCCAGTAAGTTGGTGTTGTTGATGGGGTGATGTATTTCCTGATGTCCACAGGGTGAACAGTGTGATTGGGATTGGCGTGGGAGCAGGAGCCTACATCCTATCCCGGTTTGCAGTAAGTCTACTTAACACTTGACAGCAGCTCTCTAATCCACTGTCCATTTTCTTTTTCTAAATCACCTGTCTCTCTGTTCATCTCTGTCTGGTCTATTGTAGCTTCCTCCACATTCTGAACATCCAACCCACACAGCAGTATTTCACCAGTCCTCTTGTCTATTATAAACCGTGCCATTCTGAGGGGGGTGAATCACCTTGTTATTCTCTCGCCATCTCTCATGTTCTTTTTCTTTCTGCCACTCAATGCCTGGCTTATTTTAGTTCTGCTGCATTCTCTAGAAGAGAGGAGAAAGACAATGAGTGGAGCGAGAGAGCACGAGGAGGAGGACAGGGTGGAAATAGTCTGGAGGATTTAGGAATCACAGTGTTTGATGTTCCTCTTGGGGGTCTGCTCAACATTTTATTTTCAAATTCCATCAGTTAGGGGTTGGAGTAAAATAGAAACAAGGTAGCTAGATTGGTAACAGCTGTTGTTGCATTTGATATTAACATGTAGTTTCAGGTAACCCGCATCTCAGCAGCCTCTGTTGATACATCTGACATTTCTTGAAAATGACAAAAGTTTGTAGCATTCTGAATGCAGTTTTAACGCCACTACATCTTCCTGAGATGTTCATCATCATCTTCATTCCTTATTACTAAACTATGTAGGAAGACTGGAATGCTGCTATGCTACTTCACCTCATGTTGGGGGCTGACATGTTGTTCCTCTCATCTGCAGCTGAACAACCCTACTCTGGTAGAGGGCCTGGTTCTGATCAACGTGGATCCGTGTGCCGAGGGATGGATCGACTGGGCTGCCTCCAAGGTCAGTAGTCCTCTAACCAATCACCCATCTTTAAAGACAAAGCCATGGATCCTTTTAATCTCCTAGAAGACTGTCACTTTAGCTATGCGTAGGGCTGTTGCAGTGACCATATTTCCGTCACACCGGCAGTCATGAGTCATGACCGCAGTAAAATTCACACGGTAATCTCCTTTTATGCACTCTGGACATGTTTTGGTAGTACCCAACTCACTATCGACTATCGGGTCCTAATGGCCTGGTACTCAGGGCTCCATTGTCCCTCTAACCATCAATGCAAATGAAATCAAAAATCACATCAGACAGTTATCATCAAAACAGTATCATGCTTTTAAAACTCACCTCACTGTGATGATCAATTTGAAGAAAGAAGTTCAACAGCAGGTTGAAACTGAGTGTAAAACATGGTAGTTGTGGATGATGTTTCAAAGCCTTATACAACTAAATTGACAGCGCTTTCTAAGGTGATGATTAATTCAAATATTAAAGCTTATGCATAGGCATAGGCTTATAAGCCCAAGCCTGAAAAAAACCCTGAATAAAAATGATGATTGTGCCATTATACAATACATAGCCTACCGCATATTACCCATGGCAGAAAAACATAAATGGTGCATAATTGGTCTAGCCTGTACTCCAAAATTAAACAAATTAGAGTAATAACCTTTGTGTGGACTGTATTATTATTCATGCTGGATGGACTGGTTACCTTATGCTACGCTCCAATATTTCTATACACTAGTCTGGGAGAGAATGTATAACCCTAGGCGATGCTGTTGGTTCATTGATTTGTGCAGGGCGGCTTACAGTTACCCTATAATTATAGTGAATTTGTATTTGATTTTGAATAGCCTAGTAATAGGGATTTTTTTTTATTTTCATAATTAAATGGGTGACACGTTACCTTTTTAGCTATACAGAATATCTCACCATCATGCATTTCCATCTCCTCCTCTCTATCCTTTATTCCTTTCTCAAGTGCGCAGAGGGGCTGTCAACAGTTTAGTGAAATATGTTTTGTTGCAAAAACATGTTACTGTAGGTGTTCCCGAACAGATTTCACTTAGTTTCCGAAATTAAGCACTGGGTAGCTGCAGGAACAGGGTTGGAGAGCCCATGGCATACAGAGTTTGGGCGGAATATCACCTGTTGCGCAGCGAGAGCATTCTCCTTAAACAGTAGTTGATGCCTGGAATGAAATAAGTGTTCTTATATTTATTTCTCAGCAGCTCATATTAAACACAGCTCCACTATAAAACCGAAGTAGCCTACCCAGCATCATTGAAAAACGGACTGGCGGGAAAGCGCGTGGCCTCCATTCGCTAATCGAGTGCATACAGATGACATGTATTTTTTCCCCCGCCCCTGTTCCTGCCCATTGGGCCATTCTAAATCAAAACTAATTTTACATATTAGGAAAGACAAGATTAAATTGAGAATAGTCTGATGGGTGAAAATATGATCACTTGTGGAGAGAACAGCTGTTCAGCCTGAGGCAAGGAACAGAGAGCACGCTTTTTTTGCGACTTTCTCAAATCATCAATAGCCTATAGTCGCATCATGCAGCCCATATATGTTTAGATTTTTAAGACATTCTAAGGTTTGTATCGTTCAAAACTAAAGTTGCCACATAACTCTAAATCTAGCATATGAGGCCTGTTTCAAATTATAACTTTTACGCTCAACAAAGCCACTTCATATGCGCACTCGCTCTGGAATGGGAAGAATATCCTTTCTATTTTAAGTTCAATTATATACTTCTTACTATAAAATCATATAATATAAAATAATGGTATGGGACTTATAAGCATATCTTGTCAGCTAAATGAACAGGCCTACGGCATGGACCATAGCCAGATAACATAGGCCTACAGTAGGCCAACTCATATTCTGTTCTTGAGAAGAAAAAAAATTCTTCCTATCATAATGTTTCTTTCGACCTGACTAAAATAAATAATGGATTTATTTGTGATGGTGTATATTAAATTGATTTATTAGACTTTGTTTAAATGTAGAAGTTCCAAAGGCGTGCATCAGTGGATTTTATACAGCTTGTATGCGTGGAGGCCTGGAGATGCTAAATGTGTTTGTTAATTACCGTGAGACCGGCAGACTTAATTTCATGCCACAGCCCTAGCTATGCATTACTTAGACCTTGTCCTGTTTTTTTCTCTTCAGCTCTCTGGGTGGACCAGTAACATCGTGGACACAGTGATGGCTCACCACTTCAGCACTGTGAGTATGATGGGTTGGCATCTGCCCACCTTTGAGTTCCATTCACCTTTGATAATATACTAAAAACTAACCTGGTTTGAAACATCTAAGATGACATCATGATACCATCCACACACACAGCCATACTGATGCCTTGTGTGTTCCCCCAGGATGAGCTAACAGACAACCAGGAGCTGATCCAGACCTACCGCCTTCACATCGCCCAGGACATCAACCAGGACAACCTGGCCCTCTTCTGTGCCTCCTACAACGGGTACGCTAGGCAGGAGTGGAGACGGGGCAGGGATCCACTCCTGCCCACCGTACTCGCTGACTCTACTACTGGCTGACTAAATGTGGCATTAACCTTTTTTTCTCTTTTTTTCAATGACAGTCGTCGGGATTTAGAAATCGAGAGGCCAGTCATTGGTGTGAATGAGGACACAGTGAACACACTGACGTGAGTTTGAACCGGTTTTACCGTGTCTTCGGCAGTATGCTCAAACGGACCTGTTGTAACTCACAGTGCTTAAGGAAACTCTTCTCTTCCCCTCCAGGTGCCCTTCTCTGTTGGTGGTTGGAGACACATCTCCTGCAGTGGAGGCAGTGGTGAGTTATTTAGGGTGGTTGTTGTTTAGCTTGTGACTATGGATCATGCGCTTCTACATGCTTGTATATATATATATATATATAGTATGATGATGGAACTAAATGTTGAATATCAGTTCCTTTATGTGATTAAGTTTTGTCCACTAACTCTCTTTAACCTTGTTTCAGGTGGAGTGCAATTCCAGGTTAAATCCAACCAAGACTACACTGTTTAAGGTGAGGTGAAGCATGTCATCCTGTGTGTGTCATGCATTAATATTTTATGCTAAACTATTACATGTGTAGTGACTCGGAAGTTCTCTCTCTTTCTCCCCTCTCTCTCTCTCTGTAGATGGCTGATTGTGGAGGCTTGCCTCAGGTTGTGCAGGTGAGGTTTGAGCATCTGAAACCGTGTTATTATATCCTTGTGTGTGTGTTTTTATAAAAAAATGGATTTACATTGATAACTAACATGTCGTCTCCTCAACAGCCTGGGAAACTGGCAGAGGCCTTCAAGTACTTTGTTCAGGGTATGGGTTATAGTAAGTACACAACTCTTACTTTTCTTTGTAAATGTGTGATCTCAATAACCACTCCTTTCTAGCATACTTAAAAATATATATAATGTCTCTGGCCACTTGTGGCTAGTAACTGGTTGCTACCTTTGAATTTTACTCTTGCGTATTGATTATCCACTAACAAGCTGTTGTACACATTTGTGGTTAAGATCTGTGTTCTCAGTGTATTTCCTGTCGACGTGAGCAAAATAACAACTGTTGCGCAAATGAGTATTGTTTTCATCACGGTTTCCCATGAGCCTTTGCCAGACCCCCTCCTGGGTTTGGAGTGCAGCCAGTCGTGTCTGAAAGGACCCTCTCTTTTTATCACACTGGTCACGGAGGAGGCCGCTCCTCACGCCTCACGCCTCACAGCTAACATCATTTCCTCTTTCATCTTTGCAGTGTTGCATAGCCTCAGTTCTTAGTAGGTGAGAAACAGTGCTTGTGGCATGAATGACTAGCAACAAAGATGTTCTGAACAGCAATTGACTTCCTGTTCAATTCTGCGTAGGAGAGACTCTCTTGCATTGCCTTGTGTGTTTTTGTTTGTTTTCTAACCAAATTGTTTAAGATGCAGCTCTTCCTGTGACACAAATGTTTTCACCTCTCATTCACCAGCACAGCATTTCTATTGTACTAGGCTCTTCTGTTTTCTCCCCCATCCCTCCTCAGTGGGAGTGCTGCCTGCAGCCCCAGGTGTCACTGGTAAAGGCCAGGCAGCACAGAGTCACTCCCTGCAGAGGCACAGCCAGAAGAGGACTGGCCACCCCTCAGAGCCTGGTTCCTCTCTAGGTTTCTTCCTAGGTTCCTGCCTTTCTAGGGAGTTATTCCTAACCATCGTGCTCCTACATCTGCATTGCTTGCTGTTTGGGGTTTTAGGCTGGGTTTCTGTATAAGCACTTTGTGACATCTGCTGATGTAAAAAGGGCTTTATAAATACATTTGATTGATGATTAGATTAGGAAATGTCACTGCCAGATTAGAGTTGATTAAAGCCTCTTCTCACAGTGATCTATGAGATATGTTATACCACACGCAAAAGCAGCACGTCTGCGAAGCAAGTTTAGTTTGAACCAGCATAGTTTTACACTTCAAGTTCGTTGTCTTCGGCAGCGAGAGCGTTGCAGAGACGTAGATGTACAGAAATAAGCACATAATATCAAATATACATTCATAAGTAATCTCAAGAATCCTAAAACTAAGTAGGAAAATAGCTACAATCACCCTACACACATTGAAAGGTCTGGTATCACATTTTAGGCTTGTATTAAAAAGACAGATCAGTTGACACAATTGTTGATGTAACTAGCTACTTCAAATCATTTTAATTACAGCAACTTAGTTGCAGAGGTTGCAAGAATATCTTCCTATTATGAAGTGTGGCCGAATGAAAATAAATCTTCCCATTATGAAACCTATGCCATGACATTAACGCATCTTGTCACGCTCCCAGTGCAGCACCCTGTAAACCACGTTGACAGATGTATGAGGGTACGCGCTCGTCACGGTGTTAGTGTAGTTTCGCTGTAAGGACCCATTGAGTATTGGCCAAAATTCTGCTTTGTCCCTTGGGGCTATGCCTGTCTCTCCCCTACCCCAAAATCAGACATGAAGAACACATAGATTTTTTTTATTGATTTTGTCTCTCTGGTATACAGCAGTTGTCTTTTCCTTCAAAATAACTTATATTCATTACCTCAACCTTCATAAACCGTATTTCCGTTCAATATGTTCTCCTTTCTTCTTCTTTCAATCCTTTCCACCCTCCATCAATGCTAACAGTTCCCTACATTCTTCTCAGTCACCTGAGCAACGAATCAGGTACCAGGTTTTAAAGCAGTAGCAGTTTTAGACCAGCCTCCATTCAACCTAACACACATTACATGAATGTCAATGTATGCTCAGAAAGTCCATTTAACATCATGACATATTGGTATTTTCGGTCATCTGTATTGTTCAATTAAGTGGAGAAATGTCTGCATACTTTGACATTTGTTTAGGTGGTTATGTGACTCCTTTAAGCATGAAACTTGTGTTAGATATTTTTCCTATTGTTGCACAATGTGCTAGTTTTGCTTCATTTAGCCTTTTCTCTATTTTTTCAGTGCTTTATGCTATTATTGTATTGCTTTTTTACAAGACATGCTTGTCAGTGTCTTCGGCTTGCATACTGTAGTTGTGTGTGTGGTGCTGAAGTATTTTTCTTTCTTTTATTGGTCCCTCAGATTTGTCTGCATGGTGAAATCTGCAGTATTTGTATGATGTATCGATGTAATTCCCTAACGGAGGGAACACATCATCATGCTTCCTGCATTGCATGAAGTGCTCTGCATTGTGACTGGAATGTTAACACTCCTGTGTTGTCGTAGTGCCCACGGCTGGAATGAGTCGTCTGGTCCGATCCCGCACCACCTCCTCCTCCAGCATCACCTCCATGGACAGCATCCGCAGCCGCAACCTCAACAGCCTGCTGGAGAGAGCCAACACCACTGGGGGCCTGGACAACCAGCCTGGGCCCCAGACCATGGAGGTCTCCTGCTAAATCTCCCCATCTCTCCCTCACTCCACACAGGGTAGCAGCCCTCACCGGTGCCCCTCTCTTCCTTCAGTAACTTATGTCTCCCAGTCTCTCTCTCTCTCCTACCCTGCTCCAAAGCTACTCAATGCCAGGGGATTCTGTGATGAATTGTGTGATAAATATGAGCATATATACAAATGAATATTAAATATAAAACTGTATACATGTCAAACTTCGAGTCATAAGCAGAGGGGACAAAATAAAGGATGAATCAGATATACTGTATACTTCAAGGGTCTAGATCAGGGTTCTTCAATTCCGGTCCTGGAGGGCCGAAACACTTCTGTTTTTTATTTCTACCTGGTAGTTAATTGCACTCACCTGGTGTCCCAGGTCTGAATTAGCCCCTGATTAGAAGGAGAGGATGAAAAACAGAGGTGTTTCGGCCCTCCAGGACTGGAATTGAAGAACCCTGGTCTAGATGATACGATCCCCCACCTAACTGTTTCCCATTTTATATGTGTGCATGTGTCTTGTGCAAGTGAATCTGGAGACTTATTCTCCCAGTTTCAATTACTGTACGTCCCTCCTTTGTTCCAATAGTTGTTTTTCACATATTGTATTTATTTGGTTCACCATGTGTCTTTGTGTATAGGATTGGTTCCTCAGCACAGGAGGGGTTGAAGAGTCCCATCTCTCACATCCACCGTAGTCCAAATACACATTCCTCTTCCTTCTCTTATACTATGATCTAGAACACATTTACACTTAAAACCTTCATTCTTTGCACATATTTAGACACATATGTTTTTATATGTTGTGAACCGTGAACACACGCCTCCTTTGATTGTGTGGCATAGTGTAGATGTGTGTTTTCCTGTACTGTACCTTGCTGCACTGCTCTGCTCTGCCGAGTCACTCCATTCACACTGTAGAATGATCACTCGAGCTGGGTGCAAACAAGATTCATGATTTCCTGTACATTTCTCTGCATTTTGTTGTTTTCCAAATGGCAGGTTATAGTGGCCCAAATGACAGAATAAATGCACTGTATTTTGGTTGTTCTAGAACATTATACTTGATTTTTAGGAATATGCAAAAATTTAAAGAAAGTCAATGGGAAAGAACCGTCGGCCAACGTGATTGTGTAGATTCAATCACTTCTCCTTTCATCTGTGTTTTAAAAATCATTTTTATTTTGTAATTGATGTCATCTTTTTCTGTTTTACATTTTTGTTTTTATAGTCCGTTCACTCATCTCTTGAGTGGACATACGCAATGAATAACAACTTAACAAGCCTGTTATAATGTGGAAATGTGTTCAGTCGTCACTGAGGGGCCCAGTGGTGCTTATCACGGTCTGCCAATTCAACTCATTTATACTACTATACTACTAAATAAAGCTAGAAGATGTAAAATGGCCCCTTGGTTTGTGTTCATATCTTCAAGTGTTTCCACTACACGCATAACCAAACACACCAGAAAATCTATCTAATAGTTGCAAAGGGTTGAGAAAAAGAATCAATGTTCTGCATTTCAGACTAAAATAGTTGACACGCTTCTGTTTTGTCTTGGTAGAAGCCTTAAAGGAACATGGTCAATAGTTTCCAACCGCATGTGAGCTTTTTCTCTTTCACTCTTACATTGATTGACCTCAAACTGCATGTAAACGGTGAGGGCAGGCTATTTTTAGCTTGCTCTAAAAATAAAGTAGAACGGTCAGCTATGCCGTAGCTCAGAGAAGGTTCTCTGAAGTTGACTCTTATTTCCATTTCAGCTAACCACTGAGAGTGCAAACATGTAGTACATCTCATTTCTGCGTCTCACTAAGACGTTCCATCTGAGTCCATCAGGTCTTAATCAGTTGGGTTTAGGTCAAGACAAAATAGATTATCATCCTTTATGAGTCAGATTCTCTCCTCCTATCTGATGTCCAACAGCCTATATGGAAACATTGCGTTCCATCTACAGTTGAAGTCGGAAGTTTACATACACCTTAGCCAAATACATTTAAACTCAGTTTTTCACAATTCCTGACATTTAATCCTAGTAAAAATTCCCTGTCTTAGGTCAGTTTGGATCACCACTATAATAGTAGAGAGTGATTTAAGCTTTTATTTCTTTCTTTCATCACATTCCCAGTGGGTCAGAAGTTTACATTGTTTAACTTGGGTCAAACGTTTCGGGTAGCCTTCCACAAGCTTCCCACAATAAGTTGGGTGAATTTTGGCCCATTCCTCCTGACAGAGCTGGTGTAACTGAGTCAGGTTTGGCCTCCTTGCTCGCACATGCTTTTTCAGTTCTGCCCACATATTTTCTATAGGATTGAGGTCAGGGCTTTGTGATGGCCACTCCAATACCTTGACTTTGTTGTCCTTAAGCCATTTTGCCACAACTTTGGAAGTATGCTTGGGGTCATTGTCCATTTGGAAGACCCATTTGCGACCAAGCTTTAACTTCCTGACTGATGTCTTGAGATGTTGCTTCAATATATCCACATCATTTTCCTTCCTCATGATGCCATCTATTTTGTGAAGTGCACCAGACCCTCCTGCAGCAAAGCACCCCCACAGCATGATGCTGCCACCCCCGTGCTTCACGGTTGGGATGGTGTTCTTCGGCTTGCAAGCAACCCCCTTTTTCCTCCAAACATAATGATGGTCATTATGGCCAAACAGTTATATTTTTGTTTCATCAGACCAGAGGACATTTCTCCAAAAAGTACGATCTTTGTCCCCATGTGCAGTTGCAAACCGTAGTCTGGCTTTTTTATGGCGGTTTTGGAGCAGTGGCTTCTTCCTTGCTGAGCGGCCTTTCAGGTTATGTCGATATAGGACTCGTTTTACTGTGGATATAGATACTTTTGTACCTGTTTCCTCCAGCATCTTCACAAGGTCCTTTGCTGTTGTTCTGGGATTGATTTGCACTTTTCGCACCAAAGTACGTTCATCTCTAGGAGACAGAACGCGTCTCTTTCCTGAGCGTTAGGATGCGTGGTACCATGGTGTTTATACTTGCATACTATTGTTTGTACAGATGAACGTGGTACCTTCAGGCGTTTTCTCCCAAGGATGAACCAGACTTGTGGAGGTCTACAATTATTTTTCTGAGGTCTTGGCTGATTTCTTTTGATTTTCCCATGATGTCAAGCAAAGAGGCACTGAGTTTAAAGGTAGGCCTTGAAATACATCCACAGGTACACCTCCAATTGACTCAAATGATGCCAATTAGCCTATCAGAAGCTTCTAAAGCCATGACATCATTTTCTGGAATTTTCCAAGCTGTCTAAAGGCACAGTCAACTTAGTGTATGTAAACTTCTGACCCACTGGAATTGTGATACAGTGAATTCTAAGTTAAATAATCTGTCTGTAAACAATTGTTGGAAAAGTGTATTGTGTCATGCACAAAGTAGATGTCCTAACCGACTTGCCAAAACTATAGTTTATTAACAAGAAATGTGTGGAGGGGTTGAAAAACAAGTTTTAATGACTCCAACCTAAATGTATATAAACTTCCGACTTCAACTGTATGTGCACATACGTACATACACTGCCTTCAGAAATTATTAATTCCCCTTGACTTATTCCACATTTTGTTGTGATACAGCCTGAATTTAAAATTGATTAAATGTATTTATTTTTCTCACCAATATACACACAAAACTCCGTAATGATAAAGTGAAATATTTAGCAAATTTATTGAAAATGAAATACAGAAATATGTAATTTATACTGATCAAAAATATAAACGCAACATACAACAATACTGAGTTACAGTTCATATAAGGATATCAGTCAATTGAAATGAATTAATTAGGCCCTTATCTATGGATTTCACATGACTGGGCAGGGGCGCAGTCATGGGTGGGTGCCAGGCCCAGCCAATCAGAATTACTTTTTTCCCACAAAAAGGGCTTTATTACGGACAGAAATACTCCTCAGTTTCATCAGCTGTCTGGCTGGCTGGTCTCAGACGATCCCGCAGGTAAAGAAGCCAGATGTGTAGGTCCTGGGCTGGCGTGGTTACACGTGGTCTGCAGTTGTGAGGCCGGTTGGTCGTACTGCGAAATTCTCTAAAGTGACATTATGGCTTATGGTAGAGAAATGAACATTAAATTATCTGGCAACAGCTCTGGTGGACATTCCTGCAGTCAGCATGCCAATTGCATTCTCCCTCAAAACTTGAGACATCTGTGGCATTGTGTTGTGTGACAAAACTGCACATTTTAGAGTGGCCTTTTATTGTCCCCAGCACAAGGTGCACCTGTGTAATGACCATGCTGTTTAATCAACTTCTTGATATGTCACACCTGTCAGGTAGATGGATTATCTTGGCAAAGGAGAAATGCTCACTAACAGGGATGTAAACAAAATTGTACACAACATTTGAGAGAAATAAGCTTTTTGTGCGTATATAAAATGTCTGGGATCTTTTATTTCAGCTCATGGAACATGGGACCAACACTTTACATGTTGCGTTTATATTTTTGTTCGGTATACATAAGTATTCACACCCCTGAGCCAAGAGCTTTGCACACCTGGATTGTACAATATTTGCACATTATTCTTTTTTTAATTCTTCAACTTCTGTCAAGTTGGTTGTTGATCATTGCTAGACAGCCATTTTCAATTCTTGCCATAGATTCTCAAGGTGATTTAAGTCAAAACTGTAACTAGGCCACTCAGGAACATTCAATGTCGTCTTGGTAAGCAATTCCAGTGTGTATTTGGCCTTGTGTTTTAGGTTATTGTACTGCTGAAAGGTGAATTTGTCTTCCAGTGTCTGTTGGAAACCAGACGGAAACCTGGCACCATCCCTACGGTGAAGCATGATGGTGGCAGCATCATGCTGTGGGGATGGTTTTCAGCGGCAGGGACTGGGAGACAAGTCAGAATCGAGGGAAAGATGAACAGAGCAAAGTACAGAGAGATCCTTGATGAAAACCTGCACCAGAGCGCTCAGGACCTCAGACTGGGGTGAAGGTTCACCTTCCAACAGGACAACTACCCTAAGCACACAGCCAAGACAAAGCAGGAGTGGCTTCGGGACAAGTCTCTGAATGTCCTTGAGTGGCCCAGCCAGAGCCCAGACTTGAACCCGATCAAACATCTCTGGAGAGACCTGATAATAGCTGTGCAGCAACGCTCCCCATCCAACCTGACAGAGCTTGAGAGGATCTGCAGAGAAGAATGGGAGAAACTCCCCAAATACAGGTGTGCCATGCTTGTAGCATCATACCCAAGAAGACTTGAGGCTATAATCGCTGCAAAAGGTGCTTCAACAAAGTACTGAGTAAAGGGTCTGAATACTTATGTAAATGTGATATTTCCGTTTTTTTTTTTTTTTTTTATAAATTAGCAGAAACGTCTAAAAAACTGTTTTTGCTTTGTCATTATGGGGTATCGTGTGTATATTGATGAGGGGAAAAAACTATTTAATCAATTTTAGAATAAGGCTGTAACCTAACAAAATGTGGAAAAAGTCAAGGAGTCTGAATACTTTCCGAAGGCACTGTATTTTGTAGGCCTATACGTTCATGTGGTGTATTCATGACTCAAAGCTCTGATGCTGATTGCTAACAGATTACGTTAGCCTGGGGAAAAAGGCTTAGTTTGTAATTTAAGCAGAATATTGATCTCATGTTTTTTGTGCACTTATGCACTTATGCAGAAATGCAATGTTATTGACATATAAAATGTCAACCCTCCATACACACGCGCACACACCCACACATTGCTTTGTGTCAGGATGTCAGGGCATTGGGTGTCACAGGAAGCTACTAGAGACATAAAAACCTGTCCTCAGCGAGTGAGCCTCTGTCTTGTATCTATCTACCCATATGCCACATCTGCATAAACGGAGTAGTCTCCTAAGCAACGGTGAAGAGGAGTGAGACGTATTCTCTTTCAATAAGGTGAGTACATTTTCAGTTTTACTTTATAACCCACTAACATACTATGGAAGCACTTTGTATTGCATTTATACTAATAACAAGTTATTCCACTGGTAATTATACTGTTCTAAGGCCTGTGTATTGTAAAGTGCACCCAACTATTTTATTTTTTCAGAGTTAATATTTAGATAGTAATGAATATGTACAAGGCTCGTCATAATTTTTTAAAAAATGTAATCTTCAGGTTATTGAGGAAATTATAGTTTCTAGTTGTGGTTATTTCTCTTCATGTGTCATCTTGTTTTAGTTAGCCATATGACAAGAGAAGATAAATGACACTACACTTCTTTCTCTCTCTCAGCCTATAGAGACATACAGACATATAGCTAGAGAACAGCTGGTCATGGGGAATTGCCCCGTCAAAGTCCGATCCAATATGCCAACCCTTGAGAATCTAACTGAACCTGCAATGTCAGGTAAGACCAAACGCCCAGCTTCCTCCATAGGTCTTCTGAATTCTTGAATTTGTTAACCTAATCTGAAATCATCAACCACCCAGCGTGAATGCTGATTGCAACTATTACAAATCATTTTTCCTTTTTTAGACAATAACAAGCCCATGGTGGTGTCCCTCTATGACTTCCCGTCCCAAGGTCCCTTGGAATCCGCCATCCGCATGGGGGAGAGGCTCACTGTGTTATCAGAGTAAGTGGCATACACGCATGGAGCTGTACATATACAATGGTGTCCGAAATGATTGACACCCTTGATAAAGATGAGCAAAAATGACTGTATCAAATATATTATTCAAATAATGAGCAATATTTTATGCACACAAAAAAATTTGGAAATTATATTATTTTATAATAATACAATTGCTCAGAGTGGTGGTTTGTTTGTGTCGAAATGAGAATGCATAAGCAGAAAATAACCCCATACCTACTGTAAAATATGGTGGTGGATCTTTAAATTTATGGGGCTATTTTACTTCCACTGGTCCTGGGGCCCTTGTTTAGGTCAACGGCATCATGAACTTTACCCAGTACATTTTATCCCGAAACCTGGTTGCCTCTGCCAGGAGGCTGACACTTGGCCGCAAGTGGATCTTCCAGCAAAACAATAACGACACATCAAAATCCACAAAGAATTTGTTAATTGGCCACAAAATCAACATTTTGCAAAGGCCATCTCAGTCTCCAGACTTGAAATCCATTGTAAACCTGTGGTTTGAATTGAAGCGTTCCATAAGCGCAGATTAAGGATATCAAGGATCTGGAAGGATTCTGTATGGAGGAATGGTCTAAGATCACTCCCAATGTGTTCTCCAGATCATAAAACTGTTATCCTCGCAAGGCCGTTATCCTCGAAAGGTATTAAAAACAGGGGTGTCAATAATTTTGAACCATACCTTTTTGAGAAAACAGAATATCTTTATCTGAGCAATTGTATTTATATAAATAATATAATTTTCCAATTTTTGGGAGTATACAATATAGCTCAGTATTTGACATATTTATTTTATAGAGTCATTTTTGCTCATCTTTATCAAGGGCATCAATCATTTCTGACCCTACTGTATGTGAAAGTTTGTGATAGTTTGGTTGAACACACCTCTTTATTTGCAGTGATGGGGATTTTTGGATGGTGCGATCCACAACAACAGGCAATGAGAGTTACATCCCAAGCCACAACACTGCCAAAGTAATAAACAGGTAAGATACCTACTACTTATTCTCAAGTTTTTTTTATTTCTGACTGTCACAGCTGTTTACACATCAGTGAATGTCATCAAATCAAATCTAATCAAATTTTATTGGTCACATGCGCCGAATACAACAGGTGCAGACATTACAGTGAAATGCTTACTTACAGCCCTTAACCAACAGTGCATTTATTTTTAACAAAAAAAAAGTAAAAATAAAACAACAACAAAAAAAGTGTTGAGAAAAAAAGAGCAGAAGTAAAATAAAGTAACAGTAGGGAGGCTATATATACAGGGGGGTACCGTTGCAGAGTCAATGTGCGGGGGCACCGGCTAGTTGAGGTAGTTGAGGTCATATGTACATGTGGGTAGAGTTAAAGTGACTATGCATAAATAATTAACAGAGTAGCAGCAGCGTAAAAAGGATGGGGTGGGGGGGCAGTGCAAATAGTCCGGGTAGCCATGATTAGCTGTTCAGGAGTCTTATGGCTTGGGGGTAGAAGCTGTTGAGAAGTCTTTTGGACCTAGACTTGGCACTCCGGTACCGCTTGCCGTGCGGTAGCAGAGAGAACAGTCTATGACTAGGGTGGCTGGAGTCTTTGACAATTTTGAGGGCCTTCCTCTGACACCGCCATTAGAGAGTGGGTATTAGAATGCATCAATTTGAAAGAGAAATAGATGTTCTCTCGTTCTGAATGACATCATCAATGTCCTAATTATGTCACTCCTCCCCCAGTGGGGGATGATGGCACCTGTAGTTCCAGTGGAGTTTCCTAGTAGGGCGGAGAGGAGTGAAAAATATAATGACCTATGTTCTTTTTCTTCTGATAGTGAATATTTTATCTTTCTCCTCCCTCTTTAATCAGTTGGCAGTATAATGGCATCAGCAGGTTAAAGGCAGAGGAGCTGCTGCTGCTACCACACAATTACACAGGGGCTTTCCTGATCCGACAGAGTCAGACAAACACAGGTTAGTCCATGTTCATGGCTTAGGGCTCATTTCATTAAATTAATTTTAGTGAATGTTATGTCAAGTTTTTTTTTTTGGTTAGCTATAAGCACAACAACTAGCCTAGGACTTGTACACTGTTTCATTGTTGTAGCGTGACAAGAGTCTTGTGTTATTTTTGATCACAGACACCTTCTCGCTCTCGGTCCTTGGGAGGACGGACTCCTCGTACATGGGCACAGTGAAACACTACCGCATCCGTCGCCTCCAAAACGGCTGGTTCTACATCTCCCCCAGCCTCACCTTCTACTCTCTGGGCCAATTGGTGGAACACTACTCTGGTGGGTACAAGCCCATCGACAGGCTCAAATGCATTATTATTATTATAGCACAGTTCTTACTCTGGTATGCAAAGAGGGTGGACTGTATGGTACTGTAATAAGTTGTTTGGATAGAGAATGTTCTAAACATTTGGAAACATGTCTATCCACAGAGTCAGCAGATGGGTTGTGCTGTTTACTGAGGGAGCCTTGCGTCATCCAAGGCTCAAACAATACTAATATGACCAGACCCTATCCCAAAGCTATCAGGAGGCCCACCCTCAACTGGAAGGACGTAGACAGGTGGGGCACATTCCTAAATTCTCCATCTACCATACTTTGTGTCCCAAGTGATCTACACACTATTTATGTTACTGTTACAATTAATTGCATTGTAATTCACATTGTAAGATGATGCATATGCTGGTGGTAGTTATATCACATTCTTTGTGCCTGCCTCTGTCTTTCCAGCTCAATGATCTTCAGTAATGCCAGAGTGGATTCACAGGACTCTCTGGTGAGCAAGGGGCTGAGGGAGGCCATGAGCTCATACCACTACATGACAGAGGCCAGCTGCCAGGACTGTGGCAAACACTGGGATACCTGTTGAGAGGGAAGACTGTGAAATTAAAATAATAATACATAATACTGTCTGGTCTGCTGCTGCCCCGGCCCAACAGTACTAGGCCAGAAAGGGTGACCTACACAAAAGCAAAGAGGAAGTTAAAAATAAGTAAGCCTACCATTTACAACCACAATGAAAAAATGAAAACTACAAGCATGTCTTGATGGTTAAATATGGGTTTGGGTTCAGGTAGCCACAGGGAGCCGTGTTACGTGGCACTTCTAATGCTAGCGGTTCTTGTTCTCAAGAGCACATTTCACAAGGTGAAACTAATGATTTATATATACACTAGATGACTGACAGGGGTTGCGCCTCCATCTTGTCACTTCCCCACCCTTGCAAAAAATATTTAGGAAGCTATAGAAATGCATTTATTAATGTCTACATTTGTTTTTGCCACGTTTATTCTATTACAGACACCTTAATGCACACTTTTAAGTTATATGATGTGAGCTAAACATAAACATTTAAAATGAAAAATATATATAAAAACATACTTCCTTAAAGTATAATAAGTACTAATGTTACTGCCCCACTACAACAACAAATACTTAAATACGTGTAATTTTGTCCTTGAAACATTTAATTGAAATACTGTAGAATTCCATTCATTCCTATGGAGCAGGGTTTCTCAAACTCGGGTTTTAGTTTTTTCCCTATAACTACACAGCTGATTCAAATAACCAAAGCTTGATGATGAGTTGGTTATTTGAATCAGCTGTGTAGTGCTAGGGCAAAAACCAAAAGGTGCACTCAGGGGGGGCCCAAGACAGAGTTTGGGAAACTGCTGCTTGGAGTGACAATATGGCCGACGGTGGCTTTAAAGGCTCTTATTGGCCAATACAAAGTATCAGCAATCCAGGGTTTATATACATTGAGTGGAACTGAGAGGTCTTATGATGTGAGGAGGAGCACTTCCTTTCAGCTCATGGAAGGTTTCATACTGTTTGTCCACACAGAAACCCCTATGCATTGGTCTCTTTTGAACCAAAGAAGGAAGATGACTGAAATACAATAATGTTGTATCTGGACTAAAGGGAGAACCAATTGTTAGTTTCATATGCAATCTGTTTGTATGAATGAAATGCCATGTCTGTGTAAAGGACGTCACACTGCTTGCTTAACAAGAACCACTTCCTCCCGATTGCCTTGCTTGCACCCTCCTTGAAGCATTTTACCAGTCGGCTAGCTAGCTATTCGCTGGCGCAAATGAGGACAATTAAGGCTGGGGAGTAAGTTTCACACATCCCCATGTTCAACAATTGAAATAACTTGAAACGAACTCAGACATTTTACCAGAAATGTGCTTGTTTGGTGCGGGTGAGGATGAGAAATAAATAAAGTTCTGAGTGACAGTTTTGTTTCATTGGTTTCTTATCATGGCCAACCTCTTAATTCTAAAAACAAGAGCATCAAAACATACAAGACAATGGATGCTGTAGTTCTCTCACATCTGGGCCACAAAGAGAAAGCAACTCATGTCAAAACCATTTTCAAATCCTACCACTAGATGCCGCTAGATACATGGGCATATTTTTGTATCAAGCCTAGCTCGCTAAAACCACAGAACTTCCTGTTTGGAACTGTTCAGGAAAAAGAAATAATGGCGACGCTTCTGGGGTCCGAGTCCCCTTGGACTGGAGGAAAACGAAGCAGTCGCAATGACAATATCATTGCGAAGATCACACACAGTCAGATCGCAGGCCAGGGTTTCAGCCGAGGGACACAGGTAAGACAACTAGTGCGATTTCTTGGCAATGAAGGTATCTGAAAAGGGGGAGGACTGGCAATCCTGGGATTGCGTTTGTAACCCTGCTGAGAGCTCGCTAACGTTAGCATATATAGGGATGAAGTAGCTAGCTAGCTGTTTACCTGGCTTTCTGGTTAGTTGGCTAACATTAGCTGTATATGCTACAAAATGTGATCTTTTCGCTACATGAAAGTCGGAATACACATCGCAAACTAGTTAACGTTAGCTACTTACAATAAAATGCCAGCTGACAACCTTCATGTAGCCTACACTAGCTAGCTCTTTTGTTGATTAAGAAATCGTTTTGGCTAGCTAGCTAGTATTTACGCCATCTAGCTTACTTGCTAACCATAGTTAGCTAGTTTGTTAGCTGTACTTAACGTTAGTAGCTAGCTATCTGTGGTAGTATCGTATTTGTTTGTCTGATCCCATCCATAATATTCTATGCAATTGGCATCTGTATTTAGTTATATTACTGTTGTTATATCAGCGAGTTACCTAACATTTTTGATGAGTTTGCGAAACTGAATGAGTGCGCCACTGCTAGCTCGCTTGCAGTTAATGTTAACTAGCGAACTATACTAGCTTGGTTTTAGGTTTGATCAGCGAATTGGGAGCAAATTTTATTTTGACAGGCTGTTTCCATTTGCTATCTAGGTAGTAGAACAAACGCGAAATAATTTGGAACAGCACGCGTGATTACGTAACGTTAACGACACCATCCACACGTAGTTATAGCTGGCTAGCCAGCCCCCAGCTATTTTCGTTACCATAAATAGGTGCCGCCCATCTGTGACTGGGCACGGCTCAGTCATACTGCTAACAGGTATTTTACCTAACTAGCTACCTGTTTTTGCTCATGTGAGCCTCACATTACTAGCCAGCTAAATAAACCTTACACAGGCAAAAGCTTTTCTCTTTCATGCACTGTTGAAAAATCAACGGCACCTTTTTTGCAAATAATATTGAGGAATTTATACATGATACACTCATTCATGTGTGTTTACAAAAGGCTTCAGTAGACTAGATGGTGGCTATTTAAAACAAACCTCTTGAATTATACATTTAACATGAAGAGCTCACTTAGCCCCAGACTGCACTTCTTGCATAGCTGTCTGTGCTACCCTGTCCTAGAATTACATTTATATTTTAGTCATTTAGCAGACGCTCTTATCCAGAGCGACTTACAGTTAGTGAATACATATTCTATTTTTTATTTTTTTCATACTGGTCCCCCGTGGGAATCGAACCCACAACCCTGGCGTTGCAAACGCCATGCTCTATCAACTGAGCTACATCCCTGCCGGCCATTCCCTCCCCTACCCTGGACGACGCTAGGCCAATTGTGCGCCGCCCATGAGTCTCCCAGTCGCGGCCGGCTGCGACAGAGCCTGGATCTCTAGTGGCACAGCTAGCACTGTGATGCAGTGCCTTAGACCACTGCGCCACTTACCCCCTCAGACTCCCTGCCCTTCTTCTTCAAATCACATTTTATTTGCCACATGTGCCGAATACAACAGGTGTAGACCTTACAATGACATGCTTACTTACAAGCCCTTAACCAACAATGCAGTTTTAAGAAAAAAAGTGTTAAGTAAAAAAATAAAATAAAGAGCAGCAGTAAAATACAATAACAGTAGGGAGGCTATATACAGGGGGTACTGGTACAGAGTTAATGAGCGGGGGCACCGGTTAGGCGAGGTAAGCCCCCAGTGTAGCTCAGTTGGTAGAGCATGGCGTTTGCAACGCCAGGGTTGTGGGTTCGATTCCCACGGGGGGCCAGTATAAAAATGTATGCACTCACTAACTGTAAGTTGCTCTGGATAAGAGCGTCTGCTAAATGACTAAAATGTAATTGAGGTAATATGTACATGTGGGTATATAATGGCGGTCCTCAAACAAACGTTTACAGTGCATGCTACCACCTACTGTGCTGGAATGTACGATCAATCATGATCTACCCAATTCTGTACTACCATGAAAATAGAATTCAAAACCAAATAAATCCCTACTAACTTCTATCACAACCTCTCCCAAAAACCCTCCCTACCCCATTAAACTTTATCTATATCATGCTGAAACACTCCACCCTTAGGATTGTTCAGCATGTCAACAACCATTTCAACAGTAACATCTGTTACCCCCAATATCTCTTTTGCCGTCTCCACAATAACTTTCAACCTGGCATTTCTGCTTTCTAATCAAATGTTATTTGTCACATGCACCGAATACAACAGGTGTAGACCTTATCGTGAAATGCTTACTTATAAGCCCTTAACCAACAATGCAGAGTATTTTTTTTTTTTTAAGTATGAAAATAATTGCTTAAAAAAACATTTATTATTATTATTATTATTATTATAACACAATAAAATAACAAGAACGAGACTATATACAGGGGGTACCGGTACCGAATCAATGTGTGGGGGTACAGGTTAGTCGAGGTAATTTAGGTAATATGTACATGAAAGTAGGGGTAAAGTGACTATGCATAGATAATAAACAGCGAGTAGCAGCAGTGTAAAAAAGGTGGTCAATGCAAATAGTCTGGGTAGCCATTTGATTAACTGTTTAGCAGTCTTATGGCTTGGGGATAGAACCACAACCCGAGTCGTATTGATAACCGTACCAATAAAAGCTATGAAGTCAACTCATGAGCGCAGGATTTCTGAACAGGTCTGGAAACCATGCCAGGACCAGCAGAAGCACCAGCCCCGACATTAGGTCCACTTAGTACAGGAGCAGCCATGGAAGCTCCACCAGTCCGCACTGTAGTTCCCCCAATCTGTCTTACAGCCTCTGCTCATGGCTGATTCTATATCACTGAGCCTCTCTAGCCTCTCTCTGGACCTGGCATCCACCAAATGCTGCACTATGTTCCCCCCACACTTCATCTTCAGATTGCTCCCACATTCACCGTAATCATGTTCCCCTCCACACTTGGCACATATTTTATTTCCTTTACACTGAACAACTAGTTGTTTAAAATGTAAAACGCTGCAATGGGGATGGGACAAATTCTCTGACGTTGAAACTAAGGAATCCTATCTGTACTTTTCCAGGCAAAACCTTCTCAAACCTCAGCAGCACTGATAAGCTTTCATTTCTTTGACTCATTCTCTTCTTGTGAAATGTGGCCTGCTTAACTCACTGCCAACTTGCCCTAAAGAATAGAACAGGCATATGTGTTGCTCTATTGATTCCAATAAAAAGTCTCAAATGGCAGTTTGAGCCTCATTCCTCTCAAAGTTTCAATAATAATTGAGTTATGAGAACTGAAAGTTATATTGTGCTCCATTTGTGAGGGATTTCATTTGGGCATGATTTGGAATTACTTCTGAGAGGAAGTGATTATTTTGCACTAACATCTAAGACCTAGGCTTTTATTAAATCTGTCTGAGGTTGTGTGGGTGTGCGGAGGGTAGGGTAAAATGACCAACTGTCTGTGTTCTGGGGGCATTCTCTAAGCTCTTGCATATTTCCTGGATTCACCGCTCATTCATTGTGTTCCAGCTCCCAGAGGCGCTGCTCCAGGAGAGAGATAAGAGGGCCAAATGGCATGGCATCCCTGAGCTGCTGCAGAAGCTCCATGAGAGCAGCCATCCTAACAGTGACCTCTCCCAAACACACAGTGTACTAAAGGTACCCACATAATAAATACACCACACCATCAACAAAGCGCAGGCTCCTAGGCTATATGAGCCAACTGATTGTGTATAATTGACTCTAAGATTAACACCAGGCCTAATTATCTGTTATTTTTTACAGGAACTATCATCCCTACTTTCCATGGAGGCAATGTCTTTTGTCACAGAAGACAGGAAGAGTGCTCAAGAATCCACCTTTCCCAACACATACACCTTTGACCTCTTTGGTGGAGTAGATGTAGGTTTACATCCTGTTTATTGTGCTCTTGCTGCTAGTGTGTTCTGTGCTGTGATGGAAAGTAATGAGTGATTCATACTGCAGTGTATCAGTGCCTTCTGAGATATTATCAGGTCACGTTTGTTCATTGCATTCCTATTTTTTGTCCATTCAAAGCTGCTTGTAGAGATCTTGATGAGGCCTACACTCACTATGCAGAAGAAGAAACCTAAAAGTAAGCAGTAAACACTTAGGTCTGATATAATTTCTCTCTGAAGGCTGCACTTTTGACATAAGGGACCTTTGCTATTCATGTCTGTGTGTCTTGTCCCTGCAGTGAATGATGACTTGGTCAAGGACTGCCTTAGTGTTCTTTACAACTGCTGCATATGTGTAAGTACCCTTGCCGCAGACCATCACTTCATATGCAAAAAAAAGAAGGAATCATGTCTGCCTTTTCTTCTATAAACATTCATTAATCGTCAAATCTCTCCTCCAAATATTCTCAGACGGAAGGGGTAACAAAGAGCCTTGCAGCCAGAGATGACTTTGTCCTGTTTCTCTTCACCTTGATGACGAACAAGAAGACGTTTCTACAGACTGCCACTTTAATCGAGGATATTCTTGGCGTCAAGAAGGTCAGAGCAACTTTATGACAAAATCTTTCACAAATATTGCTCACCCTGAGAGTATGAAGGTTTGCTCTAGGCAGAGATTTTGTGTCCATGATCATGTTATGCTAATGGTGATCCATATATTTTGGTCCTCTCTCTGCCCCAGGACATGATCCAGTTGGAGGGGATTCCTAACCTGTCTGGTCTGGTCCAGAGCTTCGACCAGCAGCAGCTGGCTAACTTCTGTCGCATCCTCTCTGTCACCATCTCAGAACCCGACGTAGGGAAATGACGACAAACACACCTTGCTTGCCAAGAATGCACAGCAGAAACGCAACGCAAGCCCCTCACGTGCAGAGGTCAATCAAGGTAGGACAGGGATACGGAAACACAGTGAAGAAATTAAACATTTTATTCTCACTCTTTAGCTCAATTACCCTTTCTTAGGGTCTTGTTAAAATATTGGTTTGATTAATCTGTTGATTTGTAGTACTCCTTTGATTTGATCACTTTTGGAACGAATAAGGGTTTCTCCTCAGTGCTTAACCTAAAACTGTTGTAGAGTACAAGATCAATGAATGAGCCCACCCTGTTCCCAGTGACCCTCCTGAACATCCCGGGCTTCATCGAGCGCCTGTGTAAACTGGCCACCAGGAAGGTGTCTGAGGCCACCGGGGCGTCTAACTTCCTGCAGGAGCTGGAGGACTGGTACACGTGGCTGGACAACGCCTTGGTGCTGGACGCCCTCATGCAGATGGCCACGGAGGAGGCTGAGCACAGCAGTACAGGTCAGCAGCCTCTCTCCTCCTGCTCTGGACCACTGCCTTAAACAACAGTTATCACTGAAAAGGTCTAACATTAGATGCGCCATTCTGCCTGTGAAATGTTTATTTATAGCACTATACAGAAATATCCTGGACATCTCGGTTGTCCTCTGTTGTCACCTACCCTTGTACCTCTGTACCTGTCTATGAAAATGTATTCTAATTTCATTTTTTTTTCATCATGTTGTGTCTCCTCCACAGAGTCATCAGATGAGAGTTCGATGGCCACCAGCCCTCTGAGGCACCGTTTGCCCCAGTCCATGAAGATTGTCCATGAGATCATGTACAAGGTGGAGGTGCTCTATGTGCTCTGTGTGCTGCTAATGGGCCGTCAGAGGAACCAGGTGAGGGGCTGGGGGACAGAGCAGACGCCTCGCCTAATACAGGGCAGGGCTCTCTCGGGAGTAGGCACTCCTGTGCGCTTGCATGTATTTGACCACCTGATGCGTCTTCCTCAGGTACACAAGATGTTAGCAGAGTTCCGTCTGATCCCAGGCCTCAACAACCTGTTTGACAAGCTGATCTGGAGGAAGCACACCTCGTCCGATCACGTGGTGCATGGCCAGAACGAGAACTGTGACTGCAGTCCGGTAAGCAGTGCACTCGTCTCTCACTGAGCTGTCACTGGACATGATCAGTGGCTTTTTCTAGGATTCTCACTCTGGGTACATATTTCCATTGCTGTGTTTTAACATTTGTAATATCAATCACTCTGATTCTGTCCTTCCCTTTAGGAAATATCATTCAAAATCCAGTTTCTGAGGCTTCTCCAGAGCTTCAGTGACCACCATGAGTGAGTAACCTTCAAACAGTCTATTTGACCGAAAGTTCCCTGCCAGCTTCACTTGAATTTAACAAACAACATTTTCTTTATTTCAGGAACAAGTACCTGCTTCTGAACAGTCAGGAGCTGAACGAGCTGAGTGCCATTTCTCTGAAGGCCAACATACCGGAGGTGGAGGCCTTAGTCAATACAGACAGGTATGCATCCTCTGGTCCCATCATCTACTTCCACCTTTTTGACTCCACCCTCAATACTTCACACTACAGTGCAAAAGAGGCATTGTGTTCTCCGAAACCTCAAATGCAATACCATATTGTGTGTCTAAATCTGTTGTGAGTGATTCACACTAATGCCTTCTCCCTGTCTCCTTGTGCTCCTCCAGGAGTCTAGTGTGTGATGGGAAGAAGGGTCTCCTCACACGTCTGCTCGCCGTCATGAAGAGGGAACCTCCAGACTCCTCCTTCAGGTTCTGGCAGGCCAGGGCAGTGGAGAGTTTCCTCCGTGGAGCCACCTCCTATGCGGACCAGATGTTTCTGCTGAAGAGGGGGCTACTAGAACACATCCTGTTCTGCATCATAGACAGCGGCTGTAAGTCGAGAGACGTCCTGCAGAGCTACTTTGACCTGCTGGGGGAACTCATGAAGTTCAACATCGATGCCTTCAAGAGGTTCAACAAATACGTCAGCACAGACGACAAGGTGAAACCCTTAGCAAGTAGCAACCCCCCTCAATGTGAGAGGACCCTGTCAGTCCTTACATCGTCCCTGAAAATACATGAAATAAAGCAATATAGATTATTATAGTCATATTTAAGTAATCTCAATGTACCCAGGGTTGTGCAATGTGTATGTTCTATAATGCTGTGTGTCTCATCCCTTTGTTCGGCTCGGCTGCAGTTCCAGACCTTCATGACCCAGATCAACAGTTCCCTGGTGGACTCCAACATGCTGGTGCGCTGCATCGTCCTTTCCCTCGACCGCTTCGAGAGCCAGACAGAGGACGTGAAAGGTAAACCACCCTGTCTATTCCCATACTAAGGAAATGGAACGATGAGAGAGGGTCAGATGTAGGATCTCAAGCTGCCAATGTTGGAATGAATTCAATCTTTGAGTGCGTTATAATGGTGCTGTTCCTGCTGTAATTGTTGCTGACTGTGGTCCTGCAGTGGTGGAGGTGCTGTCTGAATGCTGTCTGCTGTCCTACATGGCCCGGGTGGAGAACAGGCTATCCTTCCTCTTCAGGCTGGTCAACATCATCAACGTGCAGACTCTCACACAGGTCTCTCTAACACCGGACACACACACACCTCTGTACCTCTCTTTCAGGTTAAGATGAATGTATCCTCAGTTACTTAGGGTTTGAGGTTGTTGTTCTCCAACATGTGGCGCTGACCTGTCCCCCTCTGCCCTGCCCATCCCTTGGCCCAGGAGAATGTGAGCTGTCTGAACACCAGCCTGGTGGTCCTGATGCTAGCCAGGAGGCGGGGCAAGCTGCCCTTCTACCTCAACACATTGAGAGAGAAGGAGTATGCAGAGAAATACCCCGGCTGCCTGCTAAACAACTTCCACAACCTTCTGCGCTTCTGGCAACGCCACTACCTCAACAAGGACAAGGACAGCACCTGTCTGGAGAACGTGAGTGTCCTCTCCTCACTCTGCTCTGTCCCAAACGGGAAAACCGTCAAACTTACCAATAGTATATTGTACGTTCAGATTCTTTCATTTTCTTCTAAAAAAGTTATGCAGGGATGCGAACTTGCCACTTTTTGGCGATATTCGCAGTTTTTATCTCAAAATAGGTCATCCACATGAATCGTGTAAATCCGTTTTTAAAAAATCAAACGTTTGGGGGGGGTCTGACAAAGTGCGCAGACGCAGAGTGTATCACCCATTGAGCTATAAAAGAGAGGCGCGAACAGAATCTCAATTGCACACTCCTCGCGTCCTCTCTCCTCGCCTCCTTCTCAAAACCCATTGGAGGAGAAGGTCAGAGGGGAGGGACCTCTGGCTTTCTCATCCATTGGGTTTTGAGGAGCAAGGAGTATGCACTTGAGATTTTCCCACTGTGTACTCACTAACGTTACCTTCTCTGGCGGCTGTGTACTCACTAACGTTACCTTCTCTGGCGGCTGTGTACTCACTAACGTTACCTTCTCTGGCGGCTGTGTACTCACTAACGTTACCTTCTCTGGCGGCTGTCATCATGCACTCCACCCAACAAACTTTGTTCCTGACTGAAATTTGGAATGCAACTTGAGGTAAGCAACCTGTGTTCAAAATAATGCTGTGGTTATATTTGATACATGCAACTATAATTTGCTTATGTTTAGGGCTGTGGCGGTCACAAAAGTTTGTCAGCCGGTGATTGTCAAGCAAATAACTGCCGGTCTCACGGTAATTGACCGTTAATTAACATAAACACATTTAGCATCTCCTGGCTTCCACACATAGCCTACAAGCCACTGATGCAGATCTTTGGAACATCTACATTTTAAAAAGTCTACTAAATCCATGTAATATAGCCTACACCTTCACAATAAATCCATTATTTATTTTAGGCAGGTCTAAAGAAACATGATATGAAGAAAATGTAGTCTATTTCAGAAGAACAGAATAGCATACTCTGAGTTGTCCTGATCTGGCTGTGGGCTACACTAGTTCATTAAGCAGACAAGATTTGCTTAGAATTTCGTGGCATTATTTTATAGTATGAAGAATACAATTGAACAAAGCTGAATAAAATAGAAAGGAGAGATGTATGTATATATATATATATCTATCTCGGAACGATTTGAGGGAGTCCGCACATGCGGCTCTTCTATGTTGAGCGGTTAACAAAGAAGTGGGTATTCCTATATGCTTAATTTAGAATTATGAATGTAACTTTAGTTGTTCTACAAACGTTGGGCCATATGTTTTGATTTTTAATACATTGTAAGGCTGCTTCTTCACATTATAAGCGCATTATTAGCGGGAAAACACCATTATCAAAAGTGACCGCAAATGCGATTATGCATTTAATGCTTTTATTATAAAGGTGCATAAAGGAATTATCTTCCCCAAACTTGAAACTCACGCGCTACTTATGTACGCCAGTTACAGTGGGGAAAAAAAGTATTTAGTCAGCCACCAATTGTGCAAGTTCTCCCACTTAAAAAGATGAGAGAGGCCTGTAATTTTCATCATAGGTACACGTCAACTATGACAGACAAAATGAATAAAAAAAATCCAGAAAATCACATTGTAGGATTTTTTATGAATTTATTAGCAAATTATGGTGGAAAATAAGTGTTTGGTCAATAACAAAAGTTTTTCAATACTTTGTTATATACCCTTTGTTGGCAATGACACAGGTCAAACGTTTTCTGTAAGTCTTCACAAGGTTTTCACACACTGTTGCTGGTATTTTGGCCCATTCCTCCATGCAGATCTCCTCTAGAGCAGTGATGTTTTGGGGCTGTCGCTGGGTATACGGACTTTCAACTCCCTCCAAAGATTTTCTATGGGGTTGAGATCTGGAGACTGGCTAGGCCACTCCAGGACCTTGAAATGCTTCTTACGAAGCCACTCCTTCGTTGCCCGGGCGGTGTGTTTGGGATCATTGTCATGCTGAAAGACCCAGCCACGTTTCATGTTCAATGCCCTTGCTGATGGAAGGAGGTTTTCACTCAAAATCTCACGATACATGGCCCCATTCATTCTTTCCTTTACACGGATCAGTCGTCCTGGTCCCTTTGCAGAAAAACAGCCCCAAAGCATGATGTTTCCACCCCCATGCTTCACAGTAGGTATGGTGTTCTTTGAATGCAACTCAGCATTCTTTGTCCTCCAAACACGACGAGTTGAGTTTTTACCAAAAAGTTATATTTTGGTTTCATCTGACCATATGACATTCTCCCAATCCTCTCCTGGATCATCCAAATGCACTCTAGCAAACTTCAGACAGGCCTGGACATGTACTGGCTTAAGCAGGGGGACACGTCTGGCACTGCGTAGTGCGTTACTGATGGTAGGCTTTGTTACTTTGGTCCCAGCTCTCTGCAGGTCATTCATTAGGTCCCCCCGTGTGGTTCTGGGATTTTTGCTCACCGTTCTTGTGATCATTTTGACCCCACGGGGTGAGATCTTGCGTGGAGCCCCAGATCGAGGGAGATTATCAGTGGTCTTGTATGTCTTCCATTTCCTAATAATTGCTCCCACAGTTGATTTCTTCAAACCAAGCGGCTTACCTATTGCAGATTCAATCTTCCCAGCCTGGTGCAGGTCTACAATTTTGTTTCTGGTGTCCTTTGACAGCTCTTTGGTCTTGGCCATAGTGGAGTTTGGAGTGTGACTGTTTGAGGTTGTGGAAAGGTGTCTTTTATACTGATAACAAGTTCAAACAGGTGCCATTAATACAGGTAACGAGTGGAGGACAGAGGAGCCTCTTAAAGAAGAAGTTACAAGTCTGTGAGAGCCAGGAATCTTGCTTGTTTGTAGGTGACCAAATACTTATTTTCCACCATAATTTGCAAATAAATTCATTAAAAATCCTACAATGTAGTTTTCCAGAATTTTCTTTCTCAATTTGTCTGTCATAGTTGACGTGTACCTATGATGAAAATGACAGGCCTCTCTCATTTTTTTAAGTGGGAGAACTTGCACAATTGGTGGCTGACTAAATACTTTTTTGCCCCACTGTATATAAGCAGATTGTAAAGTGGATTAATGTACTTAATTTTAAGAAGTTATTTGGCCACTTTAGTTTTTATACAAACCTTATCAAAACATATAGGACTATGGGCTAGGCTACATGAAGTGTGCGACTATGATTAGAAAAAGTCGCAAAGAAAAGGCATTGTTTCTCGCTGGGCATCATTCACAAGTGATAATATATCATTCACAAGTGATAGGCTAATATTGTCACCTGTCAGACTATTCTTGATTTAATCTTGTCTTTACATATACTAAATAATATATGTGTGAAATTTGTTTTGATTTAGAATGGACCATTATCATGCACCTGTCTCGAAACAGGGGCAGGGGAAAAAATTAATGTAATCTATGTACTTAAATAGCGAATGGAGGACGCTATTCCCATGGTTCATTTTCATGCCAGCCAGATAGGCTATACTCCTATTGTAAAGAGAAGCAATGTGCTTAATATTAGGAAAGTTGAGAAATAAATGTAGTAGGCCTAGCCTATAGAAATCTGATGGGATCCTCTTTTTAATAGAGGCCCCATCACTCTGTTTTCTCACGCAATTGCATAGCCTATAGAAATGTTGCGCAACATGAGCTCATGGGCTCTCATGAAGTGTTTGATTAGGTTTTCGATCACATTTGCATTGATGTCAGAGTTATTAGAGGGACAATAGAGTGCTGAGTACCAGGCAGTTAGCAAGTTTGGTAGGCTACTAATGACCAGCAGCAGCATCAGAGCTTGGAGAAGCCTAATTACTGTGACTAAACAGTCACGTGGAATTTGACTGCCTTCATGACTCGTGACCCCCGGTGTGGCGGTCAGCCCTACTTATGTTTCAATAGCGCAAATTATAACACACAAAGTTATTAACGTTAGCTACCTAGCTACTTTAGTATCTAAGCTGGCAAGCTAAAATGGAACATCAGAGTTCAGAGTGTGATGTCAGATATGTCAAATCGGATAGCTTTATCCAATAATATCACGTGTGACAGCTGTGAGCAGCCAGTCGCATTCCCTTACCAGCCATTAGTCTACTCAGCTGCTTCTCTCCAGACCCGGGGCCAGGATAAAGTGACTAAGGGGGCAGTATACATTTTTTTGAGTTCTGCTTATGTCACGCTATACCACAATAACCATACAGTTCAAATGCCGAGAGTCTGAGACCATTGATTGAGTGCTTTTGAAGTGACAGGTTGGCACAAAATTCATAGCCCATCTCTGCTGCGTATCATCAGAATGACACACTAAAGCAAGGCTGTTTTGGTAATGAATATAGGCTACAAGATAGATAGATAGATAGATAGATAGATAGATGGGGTAAGTCACCTATTACAAACAGCCTATGTGAATGTAGCCATAAACACCGCTGTCTTACCAAAATAATGCAAAAATAAATGCTGGAAGTAGTAGCCTAGTTATTCATGCATGCAAACAAAAATACTGGATAGCAGTTTGGCTTAGTATACTGACACAACTGCGAATGCAAACGAATGAATGCAAATAGAACAAAACAGTGGGACCAAGTAGGACTAGTAAAGAATATCAGATTGATAAAGGCATGACACAATCTATATTTAGGCTAGTTACATTAACAGTAAACAAACGCAGAAAACAAAAGGTGAATGATACTACTGCGCTGCACTGTTGGAGCTAGGAACACAAGCATTTTGCTACACCCGCAATAACATCTGCTAAATATGTATATGTGACCAATAAAATTTGATTTGATTTGAATGGAGATCCAAAGAACCAAAACACAGCCTACTACCGTGAGATGCAGCCATGCACAGCCGGCTTGCCAAATAGGCCTATACAGGCCCTCTTCAAACATGGAATATAATGCCGCTCGCTCATGAGTTCAGCAACACGTTGTGATATGGAACAATACACTTATGTGATACAATTCGACCCATGTAATCAATTAAGCAATGCCAGCCTACCATAAACATGTTTCCAGAGGATTGAGATTGTTCAAAAATATTATCTGAAAATATGCTAATTACATGCAATTTTTTGTCACCTTTCTGGACCCTCGCCAGTTTGCATCCCTGTTATGAGCTCACCCGATCTAGTTGCAGTCCGTACACTGGCTGGTCTGTCATTAACTAGCCCTTGACTAAACTTTCAATTCAAATCTTGCAAGGTTTAGTGAGGGGCCATTTAGTCAGGGACTAGTTTAGTGGCACTCAGCTGGGTGCGTCTCGGAAGACGCGAGAGGAGGCCAATCTTCAAATCCCATAAATGTGCCTATGTTTTCATTAGTCGGTGTCCACCACATTTTGTTGGGGTACCGGGCAGGTGCGCCGGTAGTATTTTGTATTTCCTAAGACCGGGGAAAGTTTCAAGTTGGGATTTTGCACTACGCCACTTACAATGAATATCCCCTTCTCCTCTTTGGGTAACATTTTAGTATTTTACCAGTCTTAACCCCTGTTTTCTCCCTCCCTCAGAGCTCCTGCATCCCCTTTGACTACTGGAAGGAGACCGTGTCAGTGCTGCTGGGCTCAGACAGGACTTCTCTGTGTGCCATAGCCAGCTACATAGACGAGCCCTTCATGGACCTGGACAGGGACCTGCTGGAGGATTAACCCATACAGGAGGGCTTGGCTGGGCTGGTGGAGGGGTAGGGGGTCGCTGGGGTATGGACACCTATCAGGAGTGATGACCATGCCAGAAAGACAGAGCTGGGCTGTAACTATGGCTGGACACAGGGACTCGTCGCTATGCTGTCTGTAGCTAGGCCAGGAGGCTGTTACTAAAGAGGGGGGGGGGGGGGGGGGACTCTACAATCCTGGCCATCTTCACTCCTTTTCTCTTCAGAGGAGAAGGGGTGAGAGTGCACCTGTTTGTCTGTCCATCCCAGACCCTACAGTAGAGAGATATACATTTATTGGACCTTGAAATACTCCTATGTTGGTGGTTTGCTTTAGGTGAAATCAAATAGCCTTTTTATATATTACATAAATATATGGAAAAATCTATACGTACGATGCAACAAATTAGATGGATGGATCTATCCATCTATCACAGAAAATGATTTGTTTTCACCGTGGGGGGCTTGTCATAGGAGGGGAGGCCCAGAGTATGTGTCTAAAGACTAGTCCCCCTGCGTCTCTTCTAGACCACATGGCTCTCTTAGAGATGGGAAGTGTTGACTCCATGTCTGGGAGCCTAAGAGGGCTGCACATGACTGGATGCAGAGATGGCATCAGTCTTGTCCAGTGGTCTTTTGAATGAACAGCTTCGTCTCTGATCTATATGTGTATGTAGGCCTCTCTCTTAGGTGAATCTAGTCGACTGATACTTTGTAGCTTTACTCAGCCCGTCCAGGTAGCTTGTGGATCTGTTGATGGTTTACATTCTATGGGGTCCTGTGGTGGATGAGATGGGGCTTTGGACGGGACTCCCACTCACCTGATGCCACAACCCCTTCATGACTTCACTCAGAGACAAGGAAACATTTTCCTTTCTGGTTTTGTTTTTCATCTTGTTAAGAGAATAGCTTTTAGATCTAAATAAAGTGTAGATAAAAGGAAGATAAAAGGAAGATAAAACATTGCATTGTTTGAATTGTTATTTTGATGAGACGTTGTTTTTATTTTGTATCCATCAAGTGAAAGGAGGTTTGGTAGAAGAATAAACTATGCAGGTTCTAGTATTTAATCCCACTCTGTCTCCGACAGTTCTCACAACGGTTCTTTCACTTCTTATCCTTCAACCAACAGCCACGCTGTGCTGCATCACTTGATTGTTCTCTAGTCATCCACTTAACTCTTGACTGCTCTTATCTTACCATGAGCCTAGACTTTGACAATCTTGATCTGTCTTTGTGTGATGATTCTGTGCTTGGTGTCACCTCTAATGTGATTGGCTAAAGGGGGGGAATGGGTGTGGTTATATTGCTATGGCTCCTCTGGCTAGAATGTGCTGATGTTGCCGTGGCAATGGATGCTGAGCTGAGTAAGCATTTTGCATTTCTCCAAACAAAAAATTAGTCCAAAATTTGACAAATGATTGCGCTACCTCATTTTTCAACCCAGCAAGCACCAATTGGATCACTCACAGGGTTTATGTCGAAATGGAACTAATCCTGTTCAAATGTTTTTCTTTGTACGTTCACATGAATGAATGTATGAAAGCAATCTGTTCATAATCTGGTTTGCCCTAAGAGTTGGTAGTACTACATGACCACGGGCTTTCCTACGATGTGTGTCCTCGCAGCATTTAGTTTCTTTACCTACCTACACTTCACCACTACTTCATGTGGATGACTTGTATTCATGTACGTCATGGAAGGAGCCTGCAATGTTCTACTGGTACAGCACCAGTTACGTCATTCTGTGTGTCCAGTCTTATCTTGTTCTAGTGTTTGGAACAGAACTGTTGCTGTGAGAACTCCATGCATGTTCCACGCTCCCCAAGAGACATGATTGCCTGTGGAATCCCAGATTGTCCGTTTTTTTTGTTTGGCATCTGGTGCAGAGTAGATAACCTACTTTAAAAAAATCTCATCTTAATTAATTCTAGATATAACTTTGAAAATCAAATGCAGTACTGTATTTCTTATACTATCCCTCATTAACAGCCACAAATATTTTGTATTGTTGAAACATTGTACAGATTTGCTTCACGCTAAGAACTGAAAGACACTTCAGAAGCAGCCTAAATCCAATACAAAAAAATTGAAGGTCTGAGTTGATAATCGGTGCTTAATTATATGAATTTGATTGTACTCCGAGTCTCCTACCCTTCTTACATGAGGTACATGGAATTCTTTCTGTTCTTTGGCATACATGCCAAGTTAGTTTCCTTTGTTTGACTGTGTGTGATATAACCCAGTCACTGTTATCATTGGAGATTAATAATAAAAATAATTGTGGTGTGTGTATACCTAGAGAAATTAGATCAGCAAACCTTTATTCACGTTTTCTGAAACATTAAAAAATAAATCTTTTTTATTTTGCCTTGATATTGGGGTGGTGATGTTTTCGTGTACATTGGATTTACCCCCCCCCCCCCCCCACACACACACACACACACCACACTTAATCCTGATTCAATCCACCATAATCCCCCTCAAATTCAATTTCACACCCTTTTTCTTAATCTTATGTTGAACTTAATTTAACAGTCTTGTTTGTGAATTTAATATAATCATAAATTCTCACAACTTTCTCTCGAATGTGTGCCTGGTGTATTTTGTCACAGTGGTCTTATGGATGGGACACCGATAATGATAATGTGTGTTGGGTGCTTATTTGTCCTAATGAACATTGGCCGTGTGCAGCAGGCAGCCGTCCTCTTGCCTCTGACCACAGAGCATTGGGCGTCATTTTCTTTTAATTTCCCGAAGATTCCATGCGTTGACAGCTACTATCTATTACTCACTTCATCTCCACATACCACACTGACTGTAGACAGTAATGTGGGCGGCAGGTAGGTAGCCTAGCGGTTACAGCGTTGGGCCAGTAACCAAAAGGTTGCTGGTTTGAATACCCGAGCCGACAAGAGCAAAGGCACATAACCTTAATACGCTCCAGGGGCGCCGTACTACTATGGCTGATCCTGTCAAACTCATTCCACGGAAGGCCGAGTGTCTGGGTTTTCGTGCTAGGGCAAAAACCAAAACGTGCACCGAGTTTGGGATACCCTGCACTAGGCCCTACATGGAATGAGTTTCACACCACTGCTGTAAAACAACACCTTTCACTGCACCTATCTGGTGAGACAAATTGTCCTATAAATGCTTTTAGTAGTATTTATTAGGTCTGTCTTGCACTCCCACAGTCACACCACAACTGTTGCAGCTGGCTGGCTGTGATATCCTTGGTTGGGGAGTTATCCTCTGGATTACTCTGCAAGCTGAAATACACGAGAAATACAGTGTTTCAGTAACAGCCACCGATAATACTGAGGGCATGGAAATAAATACTCCGGAGAAGACCAACTTCGGCTGACTGGCTGAGTCCAGTGAGATGTTTATTACAAAGCCACATGTTATGTGATATATCACACTTTACTGGTATCTTCCATAAAGTGTAGTACTGACCTGGTCTCGGCCCTCTCCTCTGCATTGTCCAGCTCATGCTGGATCTTCCTGAACTTGGTCAGGTTGGAGTTGGCTTGTTCCTCCTGAGTGGAGAAGACAGAGCCGGGAAGTAGATCATACCACTGTAGGTCATTTGGAAACAGACCCACATTCTATACAGTAACACAACAGTAAAATGAAAACTTGAAATGTTATGGGGGACTTACTGCTTCCTCAGCCTGCCTTCTTGTAGCTCTTGGCCTGCAGCTTGTCTATGAGCTCTTGCAGGCGGGCCAGGTTCTTACTGTCCTCCTCTGTCTGCAAGAACAAACACAAGCAGCAGGGGGCAGCATGAAGCACTACATCGCAACACCTCACAGGCAGGCAGCTCTATCAATAAACAGTACATACAATCAACAACCGCAAAATGTCTCTAATCATAGAAAAATTATGTTTAAGATGATCACTTTGATCAAGTGTGGGGAATAATTGTAACATTGAAATAAGAATGTTAATGTGGTATGTTTCAGTACCTGGTAGGTGAGCTCTTTGATCCTCCTCTCATACTTGCGGAACACCTTCTGGAACTCCTGGCTCCTCTTCTGCTCAGACTCCAGCTCATTCTCGAGTTCTCTCACCTGTTGATGGGAGACTGTCAGATCACTGATCTACACTCACTGTTCAATATTGGTGAACAACTTTAACCAAGTAAATTAAGGAGCCTTGCTTGTGCAAGAAGGAGCAGGTTGCCATTTATTGGGATGACTCATGTACTGGAGGCAGCTCTGCAGGGTAGTCACTAGCTGGCACAGCCACAAAGTCATAAAATCAGATTTTAACCCTAACAGTAAACACACTGCTAACCTTATGCCTAACCTTAAAATAAGACCAAAAAGCACATTTTTGTTTTCATAAATCTTTTCAATATATAGCCAATTTTGACTTTGCCACTGGCCCTAAGAATCGCGCAGCTCTGCCACCAGAACAAGATTCATCCAAATAAACGCCAACCTGCCGAGCTGGAGCGGCTCATAGAAGCAGCAGCTTATCTCCTGTTTCTGTAGCGCGAGGCAGCTTGATGTACAAGTACACCCCCTGGACGCTAGTCTATCGCAGGGCCTTTCCCCCAATGCTGAGTGCTAAGCAGAGACACAACAGGTCCCGTTTTTACAGTCTTTACAGGACTGTAAAAATGGGTAAGGCCTAAATCGGTAGAGCAAAACCCTGAGCATGCTTATTGAGTCAACAATCTAGTTACTTTGCACTCTCCTAATGAACAGATCAAGTCAAATGTATTTTCAAATTGTATTGGTCACATACACGTGTTTAGCAGATGTTATTGCGGGTGTAGCGAAATGCTTGTGAATGAGAAAAGGGTGTGCTCTCTGGACTCTTACCCTGCCCTCCAGTGTCTGGATCTGTTTCTTGCCACCCTTGAGGGCGATCTGCTCGGCCTCATCCAGGCGGAGCTGCAGGTCCTTGGTGGTGTGCTCCATGATCTTCTACATCATCTCCAGGTGAGAGCTGGTGTCCTGCTCCTTCTTTAACTCCTCAGCCATCATGGCTGCCTGGACAATGACAGAGAGAAGAGTTTGATTTGCAATATGGTTCCAGTTTTCCAATGATAAGATCTTTGTAATCGGAAATTAATTTAATTGAAACTAGACACACAAGTAAATCTAGCCTGGGTCTCTGGTTCTCTCCCTTACATCAATGATGGCCTTCTTGGCCTTTTCCTCTGCGTTGTGGCACTCATGCGAAGCCTCGTCCAACTCAGTGGACAGCATAGACAGGTCACTCTCCAACTTCTTCTTCTGGTTGATGAGTCCAGTGTTCTGGAAGTGCAGCAGGTTAACCCTGTGTTCTGGAAGTGCAGCAGGTTAACCCTCTCGGTGGACTCCAGCAGCTCGTGCTCGGCCAGTTTGCTTGCACGGTCGTCCTGCTCCAGCAGGGCTCGGAGCTTCTCCACCTCTGCAGTCACCAGGTTGTTCCTGCGCTCTGTTACCGCCGTCTGCTCCTTCAGCTCCTCGTTCTGGTGCAGCGTCTCATCCAGCTCCAGCTGCAGGTCCTGGGGTTACAGAGGAGACAGCGTGTGTTCAGTAGTAGTGCAGGGAGCTTGTCTAGTGGTATACCTGCCAACCCTCGGACCACACATTGCCCCTGGAGGCAAGGGTTCAAACCCAGACTGTGCCACTTTCCATTCCATGTCCCTCTCCTTTATCTCCCCATCTCAATCACTTCTTTACTGTATTTATCAATAAAATAAATGTGTCATAATTATACAAATGTTAAAAAAGGAAGGAAAAAAAAGCCAATGATTGGTACAGCACGCTATTGACAACCCAGCAGGCAAACAATCTGAAGTATGGAAGAGTCAAGTAGCTAACTTTAAATTTGTTCATGAGTCTGAAGAGTTTGTTACAGTGTAAACAAAGCATTGTAAAAACCAAATATGAGGTCCTTTGTCTGGACTTTGTCCGAACCCATAAGTGAGTGTGCAGTTGTCAGACCAGCTGCTAAAGGACTTGCCTTGATCTGGACCTGCAGGTGGCACAGTAGTTTCTGGGACTCAGCGGCCCGACTGTTGGCGTGGTTCAGCTGCACTTCCATCTCGTTCAGGTCCCCCTCCATCTTCTTCCTCAGATGCACCGCCTCATTCCGGGACTTACACTCCGAGTCCAGGGTGGCCTGCATGGGCTCCAGGGCTCGCTGGTGGTTCCGGCTGGGGGGGCAAACGGATGGGGAGAGCAAAAAATGAGGAATTAAAAAGGGAGGACATTCCTAGACATGGGCCTCTGATACTAAAAAGAGTGAAAGCTACCAGTGCCTGTACAACCACTGACATGTTTTTCTAACTGTATGGTGATTTAACCCACCAGAGGTTATCGATTTCCTCGTCCTTCTCTGCCAGCTTCTGGTCGATGTCGGCCTTGATCTGGTTGCGCTCCAGCTGGATGCAGAGAGTCTTACTCTCCTCATGCTCCAAAGTGCCCTGAAAGAGAGAGAGAGAATAGCATATTATACAAACAAATACACACAATAGTTACAGTACAGCACACTTAAAGAGAGACTGGGAGAAAGAACAGAACAGTGACTTACCTCAACCTCCTCTAAGGCAGCTTGGATCTCACTCTTCTCCATGTCCAGACCCTTCTTTATCTTCTCCAGCTCATGGATGGTCTTCCCTCCCTGGCTGATCTGATCAGACAGGTCAGCAATCTCCTCTGTAGGTGGGGGGAAGAGGACAGTGGGGTTATTGGAAAAAAGGCCTTTCAGTTTGCGTTTCCATACTATGTAAGATTGATGTGAAATTCTCAACTAATAAACATTTATTTGAATATTATTTTATAATGACATATGGGGGGAGAAACGAATTAGGCTATGATATAATTCAATGGCTCAACTCATGTAGCTTGGACCAGGACCAATGACTCTGTAGTCTGAGTTATTTCGATGTGTGTGAGGTGGTTGTACCTTGGAGGTTCTTGTTCTCTCTCTTGGTGGTGTCCAGGTGGTCTAGGGCCTCTTCGTAGGAGTTCTTCAGCTTGAACAGCTCTGTGCTCAGGCTGTGAGACACCTTCTGAGAGCTCTCCAGCTCACACTGGCATTTCTGATACTTCTGCCTCCACTCAGCCAGCACCTGAAATCAGAAATTCACCTCATTAGCAATGCCTGGATAAAGTTTAGGTTCAAAACAACCTAAATTGCAATTGTTTTCTACTGAGGTCATTCCAGTTCAGTTCCTTACTCAGCAACAGCATGTAATCAAGTTGACAGCATGTCTCCGTAATTTGCATTGCCCATGATAACCTCCAATTGCTCACCTTATAGAAGTTGCGCTGCTTCTTGTCAAGGGCGGCGGCTGCAGTGTTGGAGCGCTCCAGGTCCATCACTAGGTCCTCTATCTCTGTCTGCAGCCGGTGCTTGATCTTCTCTAGGGAGGAGCACTTGGCGTTGGACGCCTCCACAGACTCCTCAGCTTCCTGCAAACATGTCACCAGCTTCTTCCTGTTGAATATATACATCTCACATTAATCAGATGTCACTTTTTTAGTTACTATAACAGGTTTGAAAACATAGATGAGAGTGAAGAGTTGTTATTCTAATGTCATTGTACGTAGACCTCAGATGTCTCACTCACTTTGCCTCCTCCAGCTCCTCTGTCCTTTGGATAGCGTCTGTCTCATACTTGGTCCTCCACTGGGCCACCTCGGCGTTGGCCCGCTGCAGCTCAGACTTGGCCTCCTGCTCCCCGTCATACTGCTCCCTCAGCAGGTCACAGTTGTGGCGGGAGGACTGGAGAGCATGGGCCAGTGCATTCTTTGCCGGAAGACAATGATAGTGGAGATAGCGCCAAGATGGTGGAAGGAGGAAAGGTCAGTCGTACTGTTAAGCACACCAACTAATGCCGGGTGTACACTACACGACTTTTAAAATCCTAACATCGCTGAGCCTCTCACATTAAACAACAGTCTTTCCTGTCGTTTCTTGTCTTGCCGACATAGTGGTGCGCACATTAAACAATCTGGCACAGACGGGGTTTCACACACTACAACAATCTTCACTTGGTCGTGAGGATTCTCCATACCACCACGCTGTCATGCGAAAACAATTATATGATGACGTGATTAGATTGTTAACGTAGCTAGAACGAGCTGTGGCTCAAAGCAGCCTCATAAAAGTTTTCAGTCAGACATTCAGAGTTGACATTACTAGCCAACATTTTGAATTGAATAACATTGCTTGTGAACTTCAGCACTGTAACGATGTAACACTCTGGCTTTGGTTAAAGGCAAGTACAAACGCATACTAGTAGTCATCGCTCCTGCTGGAGAGTCTACACATTCTGGGTGACGCAAAACAACGTCATCATCTCACTGGGTTCTTCTCTGTCAAGCTCTCATTGGCTATTGCTGATCACCGTTCGCAAAACATGTCGTTGCACAGCTCACACTACAAAAGCATTGCACATTTTGTGCAGATAAAATCAAACGTTTGAAAATATCGGGATGTCTGGGACTGCTCAAAGACAGGATCGGTAGCCTCATCTGGTACTCATACAGATGACACATCTTCTCAGCATTAGCCTGGAAATCCAAGTGGGATCAGCAGAAATAGTATCAGTGTGTGTCTGTGTGTGCATCTTTATCTCTCTACCTTGCTCTTAGAGAGCTGCTCCACGTTGGACGCTAATTCGTCTGCCTCCATCTTGGTCTCGCCCTCTCTCCTTCTCCAGCTTCTGTTTGATGCGCTGCAGGCTGTCGATCTGCTCCCCCAGCTTGGCTACGCTGTCAGTGTGTTTCTTCCTCAGCGCGGTTGCCGTAGCCTCGTGGTGCAGCATGGTCTCCTCCAGATCCCAGCGCATCTTCCGGAAGTCTGAATTGCGCTTTTTGTTCATCTTGATCTGAGCGGCGGTGGCGCCCCTGGCCTCCTCCAGCCACTCAATGAGCTCCTCCAGCTCCCTGGCCACATCGCCCCGCTGTTTCTCCACCTTGGCCCGGGATCCAGCTCCTCCTCTAGCTCCCTGATACGAGCCTATGAGAAGACATGGGCATAGATCAATGGATGCATTCAGCTTGTGGTCTATGATCTTTGTAATGTACTGAGAAATGTGATAGTATTGTATTATATTATATTAATCAGAAATCACTGTTAGTATTTCTAGACCCAGTTGTCCATTCATACCTGTAACTCTTTTTCTGGAGCTGAATGGTCAAGGCTTGTTCATCCTCAAGCTTAGTGCTAGTGTGGTTAATCTCAAAGTCTTTCCTGATTTGAAAGAAGAGTGGGTTACATTCATATTTTATCAATAATCATAGAACTGATCAGTTGTTTAGTCTTCAATCAAATAGATTGTTCTCACTTTTTCAGCTTCTCTTCAAGTTGCTGCTTGTCATTCTCCAGGTCCATGACAGACTGCATGGACAGTTTAAGGTCTCCCTCCTGCTTGAGCTTGACCCGTTCCAGGTCCATGCATACTTTCTTCTCTTGCTCCAAAGAGCCTTCCAACTGATTTGGGGAAGAGTATGGGAAATGTCAAAGCTAATGGCCATAACAATGTATTTAATAACAGCCAATATGATGTGGCAATGTATCGAAACAAAAATCAGTTTCTCTTGATTTATATCTATTTTCGTTTCAGTCAGGTTGGATATGGATTGTAGTTCCTTGTGCATAAACTCACGTCGTCCCCTTGCTGTTCCAACTTGGCCTTGGCCTTGGAGGGTGTGTTGACCTTGTCCTCCTCGGCCTGCAGGTTGTCCAGTGTCTGCTGGTGGGCCTCCTGTAGGGCCTTCTTCTCCTTGGTCAGCTTCAGGATTATCTCATCCAGAGCTGCCATCTCCTCAATCAGGTTCTTCATCTGGAGAAGAGGAGAAGGCATATGATGACTTCAGGACCTCAGCTATGCACATCTCATTCTCATCTGCACATATTCACCAATATTAAGTTGCTTAGGTTAGATCTTTTTCAGACGTTTCAGTTGGGTGGAGTATTGAGGCAGACTTGATTCATTAATTACATGAAGTCAGGGCTATACTGCCACTGTTTGTCATCTGAAATAAAGTGGAATCTCTTCCGCTTTAGAGGACAAGAGGACTATGACATCTGTAGTTCTGTGTCCTCTCCCTCTCTGTGAATGTCTGGTCTGATCTCCTTCTCTGTGATCCTCTAGTCTCCTCACCTTGTTCTCGGTGGCGTATTTCTCCTTCTCCACCTTGGCCAGGGTGATCTCTACGTCATCAATGTCCTTCTTCAGCTCAGCACACTCGTCCTCTAGCTTGCGTTTCTTGGCGAGAACACAGGCGTTCATCTCCTCCTCGTACTCCAGTCTCCCCATCATCTCTTTAACCTTGGCCTCCAGCTGGATCTTAGCCTTGATCAGGAGGTCACAGCGGTCCTCTGCGTCCGCCAAGTTTTCCTGCTCCTGCAGGGAGAGTGGAGAGAGAGGGAGAAATGGGAGGTGACATTGGAGCCCTACTGGTACCATGCTGTAGGAGGTAGTAAATGCGTGCATCGCCGTCAGTCTGTGGGTACTTACTGCCTGCAGCTGCAGAGAGAGGTCATTCTTCTCTTGGATCAGGCTGACCTGCTTCTCCTCCAGCTCTTTACGTTTCACCTCTGAATTCTCCAGGACCTCCTTCAGCCCGGCCACCTCCTCCTTCAGAGTGGCCATCTCCTTCTCTGTGGCGGCGCTCTTCAGCAGAGGCTTGATCTTGAAGAAGAGCTTCATCCATGGCCAGTGCTTCACCACGTTGAAGGCCCGGATGTTCCACTGGATGATCATCAGAGCCTCTCTGGAAACAGGAAGTGAGTAGAGGACAGAATTAGGGCTTTTTCCGTCTTCTTCCTGTGCTCGACTTGGACTCAACCAGTTTAAGGTGCTCCATCGAGTTAATATGAGCAAGTCCAGAGTAATAGAGATATACCCTGACTTAGATGACAAGTGTGAACGTTGGGCCCAGCCTCCTGCTAATCTCACACACATGTTCTGGTCTTGCTCCAAACTGATGAGCTTCTGGACTTCCATCTTTTAAATCTTATCACAGGTCCTAGCTATTCAACTTCTTCAGCCTGTGGTTTTGGAACCAAACAGGGTTCTACCTGGAACCAAAAATGGTTATCCTATGGGGACAGCTGAAGAATCCTTTTAGATACAAGACATTTTTGCAACCTGGTCAGGCACTTCCTGTCAGAGTTGTGAATGTGTGCCTGAGTGAGTGCAGGGCCATGGTCAGGCAGGGTGTCGGGGGTAGCAGAGTGAATGGGGAGGTGGCTGTGGTATGAGTATGATTGCATTTCTGACATGACTCCATGCTCTATGCCTCTCAAAGGTGAGTGTCTCTGTGTTTATTTAGAAACTAAAGCCCTCTGTCAAATGGCAGGCTTTAATCCTCTGTCACCCGCCACATATCCCATCTATGTGCTTACGTAGAACTGCAGGCGCCTGGGACAAAAGAGGCCAAGGGCCACGGGGCAGGCAGGGGGGGTTGTATTTTTAGGGTGGGCCAAAGCAGCTGCCACTTGGCACATGTCGCCACCTGGCTCTAAGGACATCGTCATCATTGTTTAATTTAGGGAGAGCAGAGAGGGGAGAGGGGTGTGGAGGAGTGTGTGTGAGGGACGTAATGGGGTCAAAATTACCATGGGGGCCACACACATGCAGGGTAACCATACATGGACAAGCACACGCCTCACACACGCCGCTAACATTGCCCTTGCATACCACACATACTAGACCAGGAATATTCAACTGGCAGTCCACGGGCCAGATCCGGCCCGTTTATACATTTATACTGGCCCTTTGATCAATTCTGAACATTTAATAAAAGATCTGCAAAAAAATCCCTGCACAAATCCGACATTCAGTACCAAAACGACTATCGTGGTTGTCTATAGTGTGGTTTCTAGCGGTTTCTTGCGCCTCTGGCATGTTGATTTCGTTTTTCTTCATATGAATTTGACTCTAGCCACAGTTTAAGCTACAAAATATTATGACCCCATTCCTGAAAGGAACACGTACGTATGTGCCTTCTGTTTCCCTCTCTGAGACTCGTAGGACTCGTTAGAAGGGAGTGTGACAAAAAGCGCACCTAATGACAAAGGGAAATGAATTCAAAGCATACTTCCTTCCGACTAGAATTTGGCATTACCTGATTTGACATATCTTTGTGTTATTTATTGAGATGCTTAGTTTTCAGATGATTTTAAAATGGCCTAATTACTTTTAATGGTTGTTTAAATAAAAGAAAATAATGGTTAGCGAGATTTTCCTTTTCAATTATGATCTAATTTTTTGGTTGCACCTCGACTCACATTGGTTGAGCGCCCTCCACCTTTCCTAATTACTTTTAGCAACGTTTAATTTTAAGAAATGTTCTTTATTGTTGGTTGTGCATTGCTTTTTTATACAGTTCTTCCGAAGAATGTGGAAAATGTCCGGCACCCATGCAATTCACCTTTTTTACATCTGGCCCCCATAAGAATATAGTTGAATAGCCCTGTACTAGACCATAGGAGTGTGCACAGTTATAATATATCACAAACTGAAAGGGTGCAACTGATCATATTACTATTGAACCTGTTGGAGGAAGCAACTGGTGGAGAAGTTGGTTTGTTTATACTGATGTCTTTATCTTACTATGAATTGTTCCAAAACAAATGCCATTATGTACTCCCAACACTCCTCCACTCCTAAGAGATAAAATCTCTCTGGGTTTAATTGTTGGCCCAATACTCTAAGATCATAAGAACAACTTACTTCATTTAGGTACTTTACTAGAGCACTTGAAATGATCAAATCAAATGAAGCCATGGTCCCTTACTTCCTGGTCATCATATTCTGGAGCTCCATCCTCATGATCTTGCCTCGGCTGACAGCCTGGAGCAGCGTGAGGACCTTGGCCAGACATTCATCCCTCATCTCCTCCAGCAGCCCCAGCAGACCCGCCTTAAAGAACACCTACAGGAGGAGAACACCCAGACCCAGTCAGGAAGATCAAATACAACTTCATTTGCCTATAGATACAATTCGTATTAATGTGATTCATTGACAAAACGTGTAAATGTAAAGCCTCAGCCTCCTACCTTGGTCTGTCCAAATTTGTACTGGTTGTGGTCGACGTCTAGGGACCAGAGCAGTTTCTCTGTTGCTTTCCTGCTGTCCACAAACGTATCATCGGGGATGGCATGTGGTTTCAGGATGTGATAGCTGTTAGTAAAAAAAACATTGTATTGTATGATTAATTCCAAATGTCTTTTTTATGTGTCTGTTGTGGGAATGAACGTGTGTTATCACACTCACCGCTGTTTGACCTCTGCGTAGATGATGCGGTTTGGAAATCCCTTCCTGCAGATCCTGATGCCCTCCAGCACACCGTTACGGCGAAGCTGGTGCAGCACCATGAAGGAATCCATGATCCCTGCAGAGGACCGGGGGAGAGGAGGTAATCAATCAGAGAGGAGAAGATGCTCTCTGGAGCACTTACAGTAAACAACATGTTCCTCAGATTTTCTTGGATCTCAGTTGAATGTTGTACTGTGGCGTACCTGGGCGTCTTGGTCTCGTTGGGGATAAGGCAACGGACAAAGTGTGGCTGAGTGCAGTGAAGGTTAGTCATCAGCTTGTTCAGATGATCCTGCAGACAGAGGGCCACACATAACGGATGGAGAGAATGAAAACCTAAGCTAGCATTGATGACAGGAATGTTGCTCAATGTAGGTTCAGTGTTTACAACATCAGCAAATATGTACATTTTTGCAGCAGTTTATGAAAACAAATTCTCCCTCACTCTTTCAGTTATGGTGCACAGCTGAAGCTCTTCCATTGACTTCAGGGAGGATACAGTATGTGATGTTTATGAGAGTGGAGCCAGCACAGACTTAAAGTGATGTTCATGTGATCATTTCCCTAAACATCACTGCAAGTCTTAACTGTCTCCTTCTCAGCACTGGATAGATGATCTCTCAATGTTGATGTAGCTTCACTGCCTTACTAGCTATGTCCTTTCTGTTTGTTTATTATCCTGTAATGACTTGTATAGTTTTACTGTCTACTGCAGTATATCAAGTATAATCCAGCTTGATCACATTATATTAGCTTGTGATATTGTCAGTTTAGCCAGCATTTTGCCAGTAGAGTAAGTTGTCCCTCTCACCTTCTGTAGCTGTGACACGGTCTGGAAAGAGGCAGCCTTCTTCCTCTTCTCCTTGCCTCCAGTCTTTTGGTCTGAGTCAGTGCCAACATGTTGGAGGACTTCTGGAAGCGCACCACCACTGTCTCATTCAACGGGTCTTTGTTTTTGTCCAGCCACCCAATGATATTGTATGGAACCTGGAGTGTCAGGATGAAGTCAACCATTAACATCCTACTAGATTATATTTTCACTACAAGATCATTAGGAGGACACATGGTTTTGTGGAAAGAGTGGTATAGAAAGGAGATACTCAGGGACTGGGTACCACAATACTTGTAAATCCTGCACGGTTTTGACTGAATATCACTAAGGATACCAATGGATTGAGAAACTCATGTGGCTAAAGGTTGCTCTAGCTACTGCCAAAATAATCATAATGCAAGTTGTAAGTGAAAAATCAAAGGTTTGTTTCCTTTTCTATTTTCTGTGTTGTATATCTATTCATGATTATCAAGTTATTGGTTTGTTTCAATTGTATTGTAATATTATACCATTCATACACACTTACCACTCCAGTGTAGTGCATCAGCTCAAAGTTGCGCTTCTTATCGGGCCGCGGTTTCTGGAAGTTCCAATGTGGTTGTCGTACATCTTGGCTTTCAAGCTGTTGTCTGTAGCCTTGGGGAACATGCACTCCTCTTCAAGGATGGACATGATCCCCAGGGGCTGAAGAAACAAAGCTCAACTAAACATACATGTAGTGAATCTGAGATGGATCATGCAATCAAATATAATACATACAACCAATTCTGCAGGAACAAACACACATACAGGTTCCTATCATGAAACATATTAGCAAGCAAACACATCATTGGGTTCAATACCTCATCCGAGGTGGGAAGTTCATTTCTAATTTTAGTGCAATGACTTTGAGAAGTGGTAGCTCGCCATACCTTCTCTATGAGGTCAATGCCAGCCTGTAGGTCGAGTCCAAAGTCTATGAAGGTCCACTTAATACCCTCCCGTTTGTACTCCTCCTGCTCCAGGATGAACATGTGGTGGTTGAAATACTGTTCAGTTTCTCATTGGTGAAGTTGATGCACAGCTGCTCAAAGCTGTTGAGCTGAAATGAAAGAGGGACAGGTGTTCAGAATAAGCATGTCGAGTGGAATAAAAGCCTCAGACTGTAAGAATGCAAGAACCACTTCAGATTTTAGTCTTGTGACATGAAGCTGAAAAATAATGTTGACATTTACAGACCACACACAAAAAATCTAACAGTGAAAGATCCAGAAAGAGAGTGAATGAAATCATTCTGTGAAAATTGTTGTGAGGAAAGACTTACATCAAAGATCTCAAAGCCAGCTATATCCAGCACTCCGATAAAGAACTGGCGAGGCAGGGATGTGTACAGGGTCTTGTTGATGCATCCCACTAGCCATTTTAACATGCGGTCGTAAGTGGCTTTGGCCAGAGCTCCGACGGAATAGTTCACCTACAGCACGCGGACACACACATGCACATGTGCACACACACACACACACACACACACACACACACACACACACAGGTTACACAACTGTAATTCACATGGATACCCACTGTTGCTTGGATACCAATTTCTAGAGTCTGCTGAGTATATTGATCAATAGAGGATTAGGAAGCTATCCCTGCTGGCATGCTCATCACTGAGCTAAATGAACACAAATTAAGCTGAATTCACTTCAAGACAACTGAATATTTGTAGCTATACAGATGCTATTGGGTGCTGTGTCCTGACTGTGTTGTGGTGAGCCCTGACCTGTTCAACGCTCTGTCCCTTCACCACGTATTCGTTCCCCACCTTCACCCTAGGGTGCAGGAGCCCCTTGATGAGGTCAGCTGAACTGACTCCCATCAGGTAGGAGGCTTTGTCAGCACCTGGACAAACACACAGGACATATACATTATGAGACACAAGCATAACACACTTGGTTGGAGGCTACAATGGAATTGGTCCTGATCTGCTCTATGTTGGTCTTGATTATTAGTCTTAGACTTAGTTCACTTTTATGCAACATCTCAAATTGGTAGTCCCCCTTACTTTCAGTGCCATCAGCCTCTGCCTGCTCCTCTCGCTGCTTCTGCTTGAACTTCATGTTGCCGAAGTGCATGATTGCTCCCACTATCTTATAGCAGTCATACTTCTCATCAGGAGTGAACCCCAGGATGTCCATGGCATGCTGTGGAGAAACCAGGGTAAGTGATGTCATGACTCACCAAGGCTGATCACTGGAGCAAGTACATTTGACAAATTCCTTACTGATAATTGGTCTAGCAGTAAGGAATAGCAGAGTAAGAGCTCTTACATCGGTGGCCATGAGCTCCCCTCCATCGTCCATGTTCTCCACATTGGTCATGCCCTGAGAGCAGAAGTGGTAGTCCTATTGGTTGGTGGACACCAGCAGCATGTCTGTGGAGGAGACAATCTTTGTCAATCAAAACCCACGCAATTGGGTCACCTAACATTAACACTTTCTGGGTAGTATTGGATTTGATCCTAATTTACCTAGAAGTTCTGGTTTCTTCTGGGACATGATCTGGTAGTAGATATGGTAGCTTCCCCAGGCTGCTGAAATATCACACTGGATTTTTCCAGAAGATCTAAAGGAGAGAAAGAATGGGCATATCTTTAATTTCATCACAGCCCGAAAATTCTGTTTTAGCGAAACTTGTGTGCAGAGTTTTGCTCTTTATGCAGTTGTTATGAGCTCATCCCATTTTGCTTTTTGATGGTACTCACATATACAGTGCTATGAAAAAGTATTTGCCCCCTTTCTAATTTTCTCTACTTTTGCATATTTGTGAAACTGAATGTTATCAGATCTTCAACCAAAACCTAATATTAGATAAAGGGAACATAAGTAAACAAATAACACAACAATTACATATTTATTTCATTTATTTCATAAACAAAGTTATGCAACACCCAATTCCCCTGTGTGAAAAAGTAATTGCCCCCTTACACTCAATAACTGGTTGTGCCACCTTTAGCTGCAATGACTCCAACCAAGTTCTCAAACTTTTTAGGGACGGGGACCCTTTTGTGATAGCAAATTCATCAGGGACCCCCTCATAATCAGAACATAACTCAAGTGAGATATAAATAGCATACAAAGAGTTTTACTATGACTCCGGCAGGGTATGGCCAGACAAACCCAAGTCTTAGGCCCTGGGAAGGAACATTTTAAAGGCCCGCCTCTTACCATCAGAGAGAACATTTTGCAGTTTTCAAGCGAATTTCCAGCAATTGTACACATTTTGTCAAGTGGCAGAGAGATCTTTTGTTGTTGCAGCTTTAAAGGTAATATCCTGCAATTCCACACATTTTTCCATGAGGCAGAGAGAAAACGTTGCAGTTTTAAATCTTAAATTACAGTGCATCTATTCTTTAAAAAACACATTTTTGGGAATACAAGAAGTATTAAGTAGATTTGTTTAAATATTTGGTGGAGTACTGTGGAAACCAATATCCCTGTGAGCCTCCCAGGCCTATTTTGCCCAGGGTTAAGAACATCAATTGTAGATTAATATTTAATTATATCGTATTACACGCTCTAAATTTATTCCACGGATCCCTTGGCCAAAATTAGTTTTATCTGTTGTTGTTAGTAATAATCATAATTTTGTATTTATATATATAAATACAAACCGCACATTGAGAACCCCTGGTCTAGCAATCCAAAGGTTGCATGTTCGAGTCGCGTCGGGGATAACTGTATAATTTTAGCTAACCCTTCCCCTAACCCTTATTCTAAACGTAACCCAATTCACCTAACATGCTACGTAAATTCACCTAACCTTCGTCTTTTTAGTTCTCTTAACCTTTGTCATTAGTTCCCTTAACCGCCAACGTAAATTCTCCCTTAATTCTCTTTTGTTGTTATGACGCAAACGCAACTTGGTCTCAGATAAAGATGTGCAAAATTATATATGTCCTCTAAAATGTATGATAAGCTACATTATCCAATCCGTATGCTATTGTACGACTGGGTAAGATTATGACCAAGAAGTCAAAAAGGGAAAGGGTAAACATTTAGCAAATCCGTATGACAAAAAGAGACCAAAAATGTTTTAAAAGGGAGAGATTTTTTAAAATCTGGAATGCCATATTGGCCTTAGCTGTCACAATGGCAAAATACTGAATGACACGTTTCGTGTTGACAGTTTTGCCAGCACCGGATTCTCCGCTATAGGAGTGTGGGAAAAGTATAGATAAGAAAGGAAATGTGTAGATAAAACAGGTAAAAAATGCACAAATCAAGAAAATTAGACTATAAACTGCAGTCAGGAACAAAATACCAGAATGTTCTCTCTGAAAGAAAAAAAAGTAACAAAATCTTTTGCCTCCCCCCAAAAAACTCCTGTTTTGACATCTTGAGTTATAGCATATAACAAAAATATTATTTTGTTTTGTAGACACATTTTAAAACTGTGTTTGGATGGCCTAGAATTCATTATGATTGCTCATACAGTGACAAGGCCAACGTTACAAGTTGTTCTTCTTGTTTTTACTAGTAGTATGTGAAACAACAGCAGACTATAGGGTATCACAGTAATTAGAGCACCGTTTTCTGAGATGGATTTGGGTTTTTGCTTACGTGATGAGCATGGACTGATTCTCACGATCTGTGTAGATATCATAAAGAGTGAACTAGTAGAAAAGGCTTGTGTAATAGTAGTAGTACTACGTCAACTTGGTTATGTATTTTGGTGAAGCTGTACTTGAGTCATGTCATATTCCATTACTGTCTGGAGTTTGTGTGCACAATCATGACTTCTAATGACAAGTATCAGGTTTCTGACAACATGGAGGAGTGTGAGTATTATTTGTGCTGAGTGACTTACTGCGCAGCATGTCATTGTAGGCGTTGTTTGCGATGGCGTAGATGTGGGGCGGGACCTCGGCGCGGCGCTTGCCTTTGTAGGCAGCGACAACAGGGGCGGTGTAGACAGGCAGCCATTTGTATGGGTATACTGTCACACATAACAGCCCAGAGTAGGTCTGTGGAGAGAGAGTTGAAGAAGGCAATGCATGATACCTGGGCTATAGTTTCAACACCTCTGACATACCGTTTAATCAAGTTATTCACCAAAAGACCCAACTGAGCAATAATAGAGGGATGAGGGGCACTAACTGACAGTCTCATTTCATATGCCCTACAAACAGACTGACATGTGGTTCTGGCTACTCAGGGATCCCAGGAAGTGCATGGAACAACTGTCCCATCCCTCCATTGCCCCTGTGGGGTCACTCACGTAGATCATCCAGGCGGCGTAGCGCCTGCGCAGGTTGAAGAGCACAGAGGCCTCGTTGAGGTGTGTCAGCATGGTCATGTCCTCTATCATGTCAAATTTAGGAGGATTAATCTGCTGGATGTCCTCCTCCTTCACTGTAAGAGAGTTGGGGAGAGGAAGGAGGAAGAGGCAACAGTGAGACTGGGGCCTTGGGCAAAGGGGAAATCTGTTGTCATATATATTCTGGTTCTGTTGTCATATCATGTTCAGTCACTACAAACCTATATTCCAGTTTAAAAACTATTCATAATAATGTATCAGAATAAATTATTATATATTTATTACGAGGATTTTATTCTAACTATCTATAAACACTTGCAAAGAAATGACCCACTGGGCACAGATGTCAGTTCAACTTCTAGTTTTGATTTACATTTGGTTGAGTTGTCAACTAACGTGAATTCAACGTGAAATCAACAAAACAATTCATGTTATTTGATTTAGGTTAAAAGTTGGGTGGAAAAAATACGAAATTCCCTTGTGTTGATGACTTTTAGCAAATCCAATCCGTTTTCCCACGTTGATTCAACGTCATCACATAGATATTTTGTTCTTTTTTTTATGACGTGGAAAAAAGTTGATTCAACCAGTTTATGCACAGTGGGGAGGTAATGCATAGTAATATTTTCTGATCGTGAGTAAACTGTACTATCAAATCCCTTGAGCGCACCACTCACCCTTCTATCTTTGGTCTCAACGATGACTTTGTCTCGGTCGAGCTCCTTGATCTCAACCTCAATGTAAGCCTCCTTTTCGTCTGGAACCCATGCTCGCTTTTTACCATCAAACGCAATGGTCTTCGCAGCCAGCAACTCCAGGTCAGTTTTGCATAGAAAAGGACCAACCTCTCCGAACTCATTCGCATCAAAGCGGGACATGACTGCAATGGCAACGCCACACGCCGACGAAGCACCCGACGCACTGACAGGACAGACGATTTCTCAAACCCCTTGGAAAAGAGAGGAATATTTACTTTGCATTCTTTTGTTTTCACATTTAAGTGAGTCAGCTCTTTCCTCATTCATAAAAAGTTTAGTTTGGACAAACGTAGGAATGAAACATCACCAAACCAAAAGTGCACTCAAAGGAGAACGTTTACAATTCGTGCGTAATGTCGTGAGTAAATCCAGTCTTGACAATAGATGACAAAACAGTTTAAGCAGCACAGAAATAGCAAGATAAATGTTTCAGCAATAATAAATAAATGATTGTATGACAAATCTAACATGAGAAACAACCACACATGGGTATGGCACCGCTGCGTAAAGACGCGTAATGATGTAAAAAACCAAAACCAGACGAGTTGTAAGTTGTAAACTGACCTCAAAACAGGGTCCTGCAACGGGATGCCTATTTGGAACGGTGTGTGCGCTTTTTATTGTCTTTCTCAAGGTCACTTGTCAGAGTAGATATGTCCCTAATTAGCATATGCCACCTCCTCCATCGCCTATTGGTGGTGACCGCGTGTCTCAATTGACACAAAAGGAAAGCAACGTTTTTATCTCAAGCTGGCTATTTTTATAGTTTTATTTTATGTAGGGTACACATGGAGAAGGGGTAGACATAATTACAGAATGATTGAGCGTGCTTTTATAAACTTTGGTGTCATTGTCAGCTGTGGAACCACTATCTAGTCGACAACCATGCAGAATGACAATACGTAATTGCCTCTAACTAGACTGGAACACGATACGTTTGACTGATAATCCGTTTAAGTTGCCCACAAATTTGTAAACGCAAGGGGTTTAAAAAGTGCAAATGCCGTTGTGAGCAGATAGGTCTATAAAAGTGTCATCCTGAAATCTATTCTAAATAACTGTCTAATTACACAAGGGTTAACTCATAGTTTACTATCAAATAGTTTATTAATAATTATTTACAGTTATTATTACTTGTGAATGCAATTGTCAGGTATATTTTACAGAATACTTCACACTTATCATTATATGTAGTAGCTTATTAAATATATTTGGTGAGACTAAAACCTGTCTAGTGTCACTTTTGTCCTCAATGAAAATACCAAGTGTTATCTTATTCTCTATAATAAAAGTTCCTGAAAAGCTCAAGTCTGCACAGCACAACATGAAGTGAATGAGATGCCCATGTGCTCACTCTGCCCCTCAGTAATTGCCCAGGCGGCTTCTTTGTTGTGAGGAGCCAACAGGGGTGTCTGCCATTGTGTGTGGCCACAGGAGGATGCAACCTTAGAAGAGATTATTTCAGGAGCCCGTCTGTGTGACATTAAACATGCTCTATAAATACATCACACAATATTAATAGAGACAAACAGCTCTCTGTTTGAACATGGTGGCGGACAATACATCTACATTCTCTATGTGGAAGATACTGACACACTGAAGATGTTAGAGCAATGTATTGATGAAATAGCAAAGCTGTAGACTTTTGGTAACAGATTATATTGGTGTTCTGTCATATTGTCTACACAAGGTGGTCATAAATGACTTATGCAAAGATAATGGCACATTGCCAGTACTCCATATTGTGAAAGCAAAATATCTAAACTCTAGAGAACTCTAGTGTGCTAAATGTGAAAGGAAAACCACTAGTGTGCTTTAGTCTATGAGTGTTATGAGTCTTATTATTAGGACGGTGTCTCTCAAATTCTGTCCCCAGTGGACCTGACCTTCAGTCCAGTGGAGCAGAGGAGATGGTGCCTTGTATGAGTGCATAGAGGGGGGTGGGTTCAAAGTGTCCCAGAATAGACAAAGCCAGAGTCCAGCATTCCTGATTGAAAGATTCACTGTTGGAAAGATCTATTGTTGAACAGGCTCAGTAACACACTTTCATGCTCCAGTGCTGTAGCCACAGCAGTACTGAAGCAGTGGCCGAAAAGCGATTGGGATTCATTTTTTATTTCCTCAGCTGAAGAGACAGTACAAACAGAGAGAATACACAAATTAGAGGCTTATAATTTTCAGTAACACTTTATTTTAAGGGTCCGTTATAAACCATTCATAAGGCATTTGTAAATTGTGTGTTCACCATTTATTAATCATTACTCCTACATTAATAAACCATTTACTAATCATTTGTAAAGTATTTTTGCAGTCCCTAATCTAAAGTGAGTGCTATTTGTACTTTATAATAAATACTTTATCAATGTTTTGATTGACCAGTGTAATTTCTCACAAAAAGATGAGCATGCCATTGATAGACATTCTTGCAGTACCTGGTAAAACAATAATCACACAACACAGGATGTTTAAGGAACTATATATACATGTGTGAATAATTAGCTTACTAACATTTACAAATGTGGGAGTAATGATTAATAAATGGTGAGCAAACATGTTCTTATGTGTTAGAGTGCAGGACTCAATAGTGATGATAGGAGAAAACAATGTCCTACATGGAAATCTTGGTTTAAGAGGCAGCCATCTTTGTTGATGGCACTATCTCCTGCCGTGGCAGGGCGACAGGTGTTGCGTTGATGGCTGAAACTTTCTTGGGCATCAGTTAGATATAGCAGGCCAGAGCTATTTCAGGACAAGGGGCACTTCAGAGTAGTGGTGGCTGTGTTATGTACTGTGTCACTTGCTCTGCAGTTAAAAAAGCTGACATGCCGATAACACATGAGAGGGGATGAATCCCCAAAGTCCACCAGTGTTGCTTTAAAATAAATCCACACTGTAGTGTAGTATGGACCCACCCAGCACGTCCCTCTGTAGTGCCACACTGCATCCCAATGCAACAGCTGAGTCCTGAAAACAACAGCTCTCCTTACATCCTGGAAATACTCTACCAAAATCATTTGGGAGGTTGTATGCAGTGAAGGCCCTCTCAATGCCCATATTTTGATTATTGCACATAGACTGTATGCTGTGGGTTTACTGGCCCAACAGTAAGTCGATCTCAATGTGGAGAGCCAGTGTAGTCATCTGGGACATCACGACAAGACCTGAATCCCAGGAATCAGAGCTGGGATGCTCTGAAGGGTCACAGTTATTTTAGATCTTCATACACAGAATGCCAAGTGGCTTAGACAGAGAGATCGAAAGAGATTGAGATTTAGGAGTGCATTGCATTCAGCAGTGTTAAACACCACACATGCATGCTCTCAATCTCTCTTTCTCTCTCTCTCTCTCTCCTTCTCACACGTTCACACAATTACACGATAACAAAAGTAAGACCTGTTGATCCACTCTTACCCCTTTCCCCTCTCTTCCCATTTTCTGTTCGTGAGGAGAATACAAATTCCAATCCCTTACTTTTCCATTCTAGATAACCCAAACCTAGTGGCAGAGACACTGAGGTGGCCGTCCATTTTCTATTGTACATTTCATTGGCTGATCATTTTTCTGTAGTCGTCCAGTGATTGCCTACAAAAGCTGACTTCAACTGTAGAAGCTCAAGTCTAGCCATCAATTCATCAGAGAGGAGACACAAAGACGCGTCACACAGGCCAAAGCCTCAATGATTCCTCTGTGAAAGCTCCCTCCATGCCCCCTCCTACTCAACAGCTATAGCCCACACAGACAATAATATGAGCTAATCAGTTTTTTTAGCAACTCGTTTGGGTGAGATACCTCTGCCATTAGCCCCTGGCTCCAAACAATGGTATGTCTTTCATTGTGTTAAGTCTCGGTTTCTGTCTGCGCACCTGCCCCTGGCCGGGGTATGGACGCCCTCAGCTGTCTTTCTATTTCAAGAGCATGGAGGCATACCTCAGCCTTGCCGGCCCATCAGAGACAATGGGCATGCTGCCTTATCCAAACAGCCCTGCAGACAATCTGACGCACTCCAGGATCCCACTGAGAGCCTGTTGCAGCCTCCAGCCCCCCCATTAAGCACAGAGACTGACTAGAGGAGAGGAGAGGGGTTAACAAGGCAACACAAACACTTACAGCACAGACAAATATTACTCAAAAGCTGTTAAGTTATCTATGGACACTAAACGGTCCAAAACAAGGAGTAGTCCACTGAGCTCAGTAGTCCACTATTTAGTTATTGTCCACTTTTCTAGTGTATTTTGGGCATAAATATGAAAATATCTGTCACGATCGCCAATGAAGTATGACCAAAGCGCAGCGTTGGGAGTGAACATGATGATTTTAATTTTGAAACACACGACAAAACAAAACACGATCCGTGAAGTCCTCAGTGACAACTACTGAACAATGAACAAAAACCCACAACCACAAGGTGAACACAGACATTTAAATATGGCTCCCAATCAGAGATAACGAGCCGACAGCTGACACTCGTTACCTCCGATTGGGAGTCACTGACCAAACCTAGAACGCGAACACCTAGACACTACCCACAGTACACAACACACGGAAATCTACACACCCTGACTAAACACAAAAAGTCCTAGAACCAGAGTGTGACAGTACCCCCCCCCAAAGGCGCGGACTGCGACCGCGCCTAACTACAAGCAAACAGGGGAGGGCTGGGTGGGCATTCCTCCTCGGCGGCGGCTCCGGCTCCGGGCTTCCTCCCCACTTCCTCTCCAACCCCCCAAAGTACCCCTGGTCCTGTCTAGCCCCGCTGGCCGGAACCGGACTGACGACACGCGCCCCTGGCTTGGTGCGTGGATCCTGGCTGGACGGCTCTGGCGGATCCCGGCTGGACGGCTCTGGCGGATCCCGGCTGGACGGCTCTGGCGGATCCCGGCTGGACGGCTCTGGCGGATCCCGGCTGGACGGCTCTGGCGGATCCTGGCTGGACGGCTCTGGCGGATCCTGGCTGGAAGGCTCTGGCGGATCCCGGCTGGAAGGCTCTGGCGGATCCCGGCTGGACGGCTCTGGCGGATCCTGGCTGGACGGCTCTGGCGGATCCTGGCTGGACGGCTCTGGCGGATCCTGGCTGGACGGCTCTGGCGGATCCTGGCTGGACGGCTCATGGCTGGCTGACG